TACAACGGGGAACGGGATTTAATTAATGATTTGCATTTACCGACCATGTAAATGCGCGCTACAGTATGTTAATTAATACATATATTTTCGAATTCACCGAACAGTTAATTTGTATCCAGTATTTAAATTGAATCGCGCCGATGTAGAACAAATAATACTCCGTGCGAAACGTCAGGTTGAATTTTGATAAATACGTTCAAAATACGCAACTTGAATAAGTCGACCTGATTTGGACTTCGCCTAGCATCGCTCGTCTCTCAGCCCAGACGAAATTATTCAAAAGGAAACGTCGGAAGAATGCATATTTTATAAATGAATCGTGTGCATGTTTGAACAGGATCGCAAAAAGTTTTGTCGAATGCGCCGGAAGATTCCCAAAGTGGCCATGGTTCTTCCTACTCTAGCGTACACGTTCGTCCCTGTATCGATTTATCCAACGTATTGGTAAAGAGTTTTAACATCCATTCTCTGCCGGGGTAAAAACATTCTGTTACGTAACATTGGAACGGAAACTCGCCTGAACATTTAGAAAGAAACGTCGGGAACATATTTCGGGAACAAGTCGGACGTGAAATTCAGTAAGAAAAACGCTTGCACGCTAAACTTTGCCCGAATTCGATCGTGAGATAGCTTCCCGTTGAGAACCCATTACATACGAAGGAACAGTGATCAGTTTTAAATAATTCGAATTTATATTCTTCATTTAAAATTTTTACAAAATCTGCTGATGTGAAAAGCATTCGCAACATTTCGCTTATAATTAAAAACTAGCATGAAATAACGGCTCAATGATTAAGTTGAAAGTGACCAATGGCTTTTGTAATCCTGAATAAAAATAAAAATGCCGGATTAGCATAATCGGTTTACCCGATCTCTGCAGAAAACTGAAGACAATTAGCTCGGGACCCTTTGAAGTCACTCAACCCGGTAACATTGGCAACATACTGGCAGCCGCTATCGCTACTAGTCTATTCAGATCTAGTCAAGAGTGTTTTCGTGATCAAGGATCCGCAGCTTTATTAAAGCAAACTCCGGATATTTATCAGAGAGGAGAAACTGGTGCTCCTCTCGGCCGCTGTTACTTTGAAAAGCTGCAAGTGCCCTCTGCGCTTTGACGAGAAATGAACAACAATTTGCGCTCGCGAAGTCGGTGGCTGAATTGGCACTAGCTCCCGGCTTCGTTGATCATCTTTTCACCCACCCACCATCCCCTTTCGCGCAGGGCGTCGTCGCTCGTTCCCGGCCCGAATTTCCGCCAACGAATTCGAAATTACATGATTCCGCTTAATGTCCCATGCGCGCCGCGACAGCGTCGCTCTTTTAACGTCGCGTTTTACGTTTTCTCTCCGCACAAGGTGAAATTCACTTTCGAATTCACCGCACCGCGAGCGTATACCTCACGGTAAATGTCACCGTTTCAATTCGAATTTCTTAAGGCCCGCAGCGCTTTAATCGTCTCCGTTTTCAAACACTACTTGTTTATCACTAATGTTCACATTAACAATATCTCCAACAAAATTATTTACTTTTTTATTTTTTTATTTATTCTCCAAGGGAATACATGCTGTTTAGTCTTATTTATGTAATTGGCTGACTAAAGAGAGACACTATCTACTTGTATTCAGATCTGTTATACTTAAATATATAAACGTAAAAAATAAATTAACAATATATATAAAATTTATATGACAGTACAGTTATTTGGAAAGTAACAAAATTTAATGAGATCTTTTCTCATTAGTGATATAAAGCTTTATTCTTTGCGAACGCGTAATATAAAAGTTATCTCTTATGTTCCAAAGCAATTCAACAACGTACAGATACCTCAAACGATATTGAACCAGGTTCCCTTACACATGGCGTCACAGCTGGTCCAAAAGCGTTTGACGTATCTCTACATCTATACTTAAGTTATATTTATGTGTTATTTTTATATTATTTTTAACCAAGGTTTTTACCATTTTTTTATTATTTTTTCGTGCTAGTTAATCCTTTGAAATTATTTGATAGCAAGTTGAAATTTCTGATTTTATTACACATCAGTAATTCGTTTTAAATATATTTGGTAAAGTCAAATGTGTATTTATGTATTCAGTCAGACGTCAAAATGTCATATTTTATTTTAATACATAATTTGAATATTAATCGATTTTAATATTATTTTTGCACTGTGTAACACATCATCTCTTTTTGATGAAGCGTCTTCTGTATAATTTTGCAAGTTAGTGTCAGTATGAAACAACAGCACCTGGCGCTCCGTTAATACTGCTCGTTTAAATAAACATCGTTAAATGAAACATGTATGCATAGGAAACCAGAACTGCGTTCTTTTCTTTCAAAACACTCGGAGTAATAACAAGAGTTCTCGTTTTCACATTCTTGCAGCCAAATAAACTCATATATTGGCATTAGCCTTCGGGCACGTATCTACCGACGTTAAACAACATTAAAAGCCGTCTTTCATTCGGACATAAATTGTAATCCAAACTCCACCTCAATTTTCACGTCGTCTTGTGTGAAACGAACGAAATAAAAATGCGATCTACATAAATTCGGTAATAATTTCGGTAAATAAGATAATAGAAGAATGCTAGAAGAAAATCGACAGAAACGAACAAGGAAGGGGAAGGGTTAAATTGAAATGGGAGGAAATATAATGAAAGAGCCAGATATTACAATAAAAGAAATAAATTGAGTAAAATTATTAAGGTGAACCAAAGGCTTCTTGCGTTTTATTGTTGCTTCCTATTCTTATTCCTAATTTTTTGATGTCAATAAAAATACTTTATACAAAAAATTTTCTATATAATTTTGTAAGTTTTTGAAAAGATATTTAATATTTACGTATTAATTACGATTAACTTTTGGTTCACTCTAATTCTAATAGAACATTAAAGAAAAGAAGAGAATAGATTATCAGAAATAGCAGCACAGGAAGATTTAAGTATCCAAATACGAAAGAATAAAAGACAGTAGATACAATCCAAAATTCAAAACAATTAGAGAAGAACAGAAACCGGAATACTTAAAAAGAGAGTACAAAGGAAGAGATCAGAAGATGGTGACGAGACAAGAAAAGAAATTCATGAGAGATGAGTAGATATTGTTAGGATACACACCCCGTATATGTCTGAATGGGCGAGAAACGTTGGAAAACAGCGTATAACTGTGTAGGAGTAACAGCAAAGATAGAAATATCGATGAGAGAAATTTTTAGAGGAAGGAGTGAAGTGGAAGAAAGAATGCAACAAAAAAGGAGAAAACCGATACGAAGACCAACGACAACTACAGATAACAACTATAACATATAGAGACAGTTATTGTAGTATTTTATCACCAAAGGTGAACACCCCTTTGAAAGCTCAAACGCATGAAATAAACGATTACTATTACCTATGTACATAAGAACATCCTCTCGAAGTAGAAATACGTTTATTATTTTGTCACAATTCTATTAACCCGTTGTTAGACAAGAAAACAACGCGAGGACAAATCCTCGCAAAAAATTACACGGTTTTTTCTATCAATTTTCTTCCTCTGCAGTTCGGCGAAGTCATTCCGAGTTTCCGGCGAGCGATTTCTTAAGCTGATAAAAAGTAGGGCGTTACCCTTCAACTCGGCAACTTTTCCCGACGAAATTAGCTTAGTTTTCCACGGGAAGTTTACCGCGGGTAATAAACTCGTAAATCCCGTGTTGCAAAAATTGCGAAATTTGTAAACATGCTGGCCAACGAGTGATAACTGTTCTATCGCCGGAATGAATTGTGTCGAGACGAAGTAACGTTCAAACTTCACCAGACCGAGCTCGGTTTTTCTTAAAGTGGAGAACTTTATTACGGTTCAAAGTCAATCTGCTGTCATTATCCTACTGAATCCTAATATAAGTGAGCACTCTTGAGGATGAGACTCATTAGTTCTTTTCAAGACAGACGCATCCTTGCAATCAATTTAAAACTGCATTAACGATGAGAAAAAGTTAATCATTCCTAAAATCAGGCATCTACTAGTCTTTTGGTCGTTGCATTCAACGTTTTATCGAACACGAATTACCTTCCACGCTAATGTCCCGCGAATAATGACCACGTTAATAGTTCTCGGTCTCACTCGTGCGGAATTAATGGCAAAGTGACAGAAAACTTTCGCCACCGTTTTCTTTCAAACGTCTTCCATTCATCTGGGCTCGTCTCGGTTCTTTAACGTTATTGTACTCAGGAGGATTTTTTAATATTAATAACCGCCAGAGTTGCCACCGATGCTCGTGATTTAAAAGCTTTGAAATACAAACTCTGAATTGAGCCCGAATTTGAATTTAAGATTGACCCTTTGTGTAACCCCATTTTTGCCAGACAAGGCTCTTTAATGTCGCAGCCAATCCCCCTTTTCGTAGCAATTGCTCCTTTCTTGGCTCGATATCAACGCCCTTTTTCTTGTTCTTCGCGCATATCCACATTTAAACAACATTTTAAATCCTCGGTCAATTAGGAACACTCGTAATCCTCACTCCTCTTATTTTCATGTTTTGCCAGCGTGGACACTAAATATTAGCCGATCGTTTCCAATTAAAACCGTATCAACACTTTAAGCGAAAAGTACGTGTTTTCCTGCACGCGCTCGCATAATTGATATTACGCCCGGGCAGCGTCACTCCATTGTTACCGCGGTGGTTGCGGCTGCGATTAATATTAACACCTTATTACCACCGGTGAGATTACAATTTTCTTGCGCGCGTCCAACTCTAACTATTATTTTTACAACGCCATGATAATTTCGTAATCTGGTTACGGAATTGTTATCATCAGTTAACGAGAACGTCAATCATTAAATCGTCCTACCACAGAATTTGATAGAAAAAGCATAAAATGTTTTAATGAAAGCTATTTGAACAGTTATTAAAATATATAATATTGTTTTGATTAAAAATTGTCGATAAAAATACGAGACTATGGTATTAATTAAATTAGAAGTAATATTATTCTTGCGTATTTATATTCTTGTTTTAGAATCAACGAGCGATGTCACGGAAGGTGTTTACGCGGGCGAACGAGACCGTTTGGTGTACGGGGTCTTCACGACGCCGGTGAACTCGATCGGCGGCTCGGCCGTGTGCGCGTTCTCCATGAAGAGCATCCTGAAAGTCTTCCAGAGCGCGTTTAAGGAACAAGAAACCATAAACAGCAACTGGCTGCGCGTACTTCCGGAGAAGGTACCCGAGCCGAGGCCCGGTGCTTGCGTCAACGACTCCAGAACGCTTCCGGATGTGACTGTGAACTTTGTCAAAGCTCATCCGCTTATGGACGACGCGGTGCAATCGTTCTTCTCATTACCTGTGATAACCAAAATCAGCTTCAAGTAAGCCCTTCCTCGTTTTTTAATATCTTATTTATTCCTCTAGTCAAATAGTAAAGTCTTCCATGTTTCTATTGGGTTGGTAAATGAGTTCGTTCGGTTTAAGTAATTCGAGCAATGTCAAGAATCGATAGGAATCCATTCCGATCGGTGCAAAATATTCAATATATTCCATTCGAGTATAGAAAATTAATCAGTCTTGTGTATCAAAGGAATTGTGTTTCGTTCTGCCTTAAAACCTGACCGTACTTATTTGCCTGTATTTAAGGTTGCATGTGAAAAGGTAAAATAATAAATCATACAAACACTTAATATGGTAATAATAAATTCAATTTAAGTTACAGATTCACCAAAGTCGCCGTGGATTCCCAAGTGAAGGCATTGGACGGGAAGGCCTACGACATTCTCTACATCGGCACAGGTGAGTTGAACGAGACAAAACAACAGTAATTCCGTGTAGTTGTTCCAGCAGCGGTGCGACGGAACAAAAGCACTCTGGCACGGATTTAATTATGATAATTTCATGGTTATTTGCGCAGACGACGGCCGGGTTCTCAAAGCACTGAACACTCGGGCGCCAGATTCCCTGAGCAACGTTAGCCAGGTCATTGTCAGCGACGTTCAAGTGCTCAAGTACGGTAAGTCCTCGAAAATTTCTCCAGCGTTTTGCCACTCTCTGCCCTGCCTGTCCGCGTAAAACGTTTTCGGAGTTTCGACGTTCGGCGAATCGTACCTATGCGTCTGATAAGCATCAACCCAATTACACAATGCAAAACAGGGGATTTCCGACGGCCGATCGATAGCCCATCTAAATTTTAATCCTCCAGAGTTTAATCGACTGATTGACTTGCCTGCGACACTCTTTTTTATTTTCATCGGGAAAAGTTTCTGATTAAAATCGTATTACGCGAACTTTTTAATAGGAAAAAGTTACTGAACAAATGTGTCGCGTACAATTTGCACATTTTCTGTATACGCTTCTGTCGTACAATTCAGAAATTACAGTCACGTTAGCCGAGTTTACACGTTCTTCCTTTTGCATTTAATCCTGTGCTGAGACGGCGGGAATTAAATTGTCGGATTCCGTTCACGCGCACAGGACAAGCGATCAAGGATCTGTTGGTGGTCCACCTGGCCGGCGAGGCGAGCAAGCTGGTCGTGTTCGCTGACTCCGAGATCCGCGCCGTACCTCTTCACCACTGCGACGCACCAGCTGCCTCCGCTTGTGGTGCCTGCGTCGGCCTTCAGGACCCGCATTGCGCCTGGGACGCAACGAAGAACCTCTGCGTGGCCGTTTCGACGAAACTGCACGACAGCGACGCAGACAAGACCCTGTTTCAGGACATCGTCAATGGGAAACACAAGGGTTGCGGCTACGAGCAAGGTAAGTCTCTCCCCACTGTCGTTAATCCAGTTGTAATCGTCTTGAGGGTTGATTCCAAGATTAAGGAGCCTTGTACAAACTTTTCTCGTTACGAGTTATATTTTTATTTTATTCATTCAACTGCAAAATATTCTCTGCAATAAGTAATTAAAACCACAATTTCAATTGAAAAGTATTAACCAGCTTCTGGACGACATTTCTTCTATTAAAAAAATTTCAAACAACTGTCAGTTTGAAATCAGTTAATTTGTTTGTTCGCGGAGTATGATATAAAATGAAATTAAGGTTGTATGAACCGTAAGATCTCTGCGAAAAGTTTGACATAATTATACTACATAATTAAACTGTTCGTTGAATGGAATATTCTATACGGCATCTAATATGAGATTTCGACAGTCTTTTGACAACTGTGCGAATTTCGTTATAATCGTTTTTCACATATATTTTTTTCTTCGCGCCAAGTCTTCTCCCGTTACATTACCTATCACGAAACGACCCGTATAAACTCGAATGCACAGTTATGCATCTGCCTTCCATCTCGCCAGCAATCATCCTCTAACGGAATTCACTTATCTCCACCGAGGTTTAGCTGACCCCCGATTACCCAAACTCGTCGTTCTTTCTTCGAATACCGGTATTTTCAACAACATCAAGACGGAAATAGCCACTAAAATCCGAGACCTATTCTCGATCTGACGATAGGTAAACGTATACCACCTGGTTGTAAATCGTAGGTAATAAAAATTATAGTCGGATGAAATATGACAAATCGAATGGAACTTACGACGCTTCGACGAATGAAATCTTCATGAAACGTTTAATAATTTCTGCTGCGTCTAATGAAAGTTCGAATCTATTTTATTAAATTGTAAAAAACCGAGCACATCCATCAACGGGAACTCATCAGCCAAATAATAGTGAGAAACATTATGTTCAATCATTCGACGAATTTAAAAAAAGTTTTCACGGTGCAATCAGAAATAGGGCGACCGCAAGTAGTGGCTCGGTGCTCGGTCCGCACGACCGCTAATGGAACGGATTTTTTTTCACTGTAACTGCCCCAGAAACGACCGCGAATAGCGTGGAACGCTGGATTTGAACGCACCGCAGTGTAGATCACCGCGGGTGAGTCACACAATGCAGGCGCGAGAAAATTCATTCGAAAGCCCATGGTTGGTACGCGACGTCTGCTGGCGTAGATACCCGATGAATCAGGCCGTTTCAGATTTTTTACGTCTGCATCAGGACACGAAGCGGGTTCAGTTAACCGAGGTTTAGTTATGAGACGAGAGGATTCGAAAGTGGGTTATTCTTTCCACTAAAGCCAGTTTATTATTTGTGGTTTGAGTCTTGACACTTCATTGTCTATTCCGTGATTTTGAACCACTGAAGAATTACATAAAAGTAGTAAATTATATTTTATTACAAACTGCTCTTACAATAAGGACAGAAGAAATTTCATGCGAAGTCGATAACTATATAAAAAATTCTATCTAATTCAGCATTATCACTATGATATTTATGTTTATTTTATTCACAAACCAAAGTAATGCAGTGAAATCAGAGAAAGTGCGGATAGGATTTGCTAACAAACGCAGAAACGGTACACCGCCGGTGCGCTTATCGCTGGGACATGTGTATAGCTTCCTCAGAGCGCATTCTTAGGCGTGCTCTCGATAAACCTGCGATGGAATAATTTCTAACTGTACCCATAGAAGTTTATTCCGTTGCGCAGCTTATCACGCTCGCAGGTTGCCCGACTAACTAGCATTAATCGTAAGAGACCGGTACGACGTACGGTTCTTCAGACTTTTTCGTGTTGTCCATTTAACGGAGAGAAAAGGGAAGGAATCTCTCACGTTGAGATTGTCTCACGTAGAAATTTCCTATTGTGAGTATTTTGCAGTTGAATGAAATTTGTGAGAAGTCACTGTGAACAGGATAGGATCTTAATACATTGACATTGAGTTGTTCAGGAGATTTATGCTGATCTTAAGTTTTATACTTTAATACAATTTTTATGTTGCCTAAGCAATTAGTAAATTCTTTTTTTTCTATCATTTCTTCAACTATTGATCTGAAAGTTATATTTATCCAATAAATGTCAGACTCGTTACACATAAACGATTTTTCTACATCGATACGAACATTGTACGCAGACAAACAATTGATACGAGTATTCTTTTTGTAATATTGCCATCGTTCCCTTGTCCTTGTTTTATCAACTCGACCGGATTAATGGAAAACTAAATTGGCTTGACACACGCGATAACGGGAATTGGAAATATCGCAAAAGAAAAAATTGTTAAAAATGTTCGAATGATCGAATCGTTCATCTTCGAAAAGACATTTCTCTGTTTTGAAGCTTACGTTACAGCTCTGAGAAAAATAAAGGATTCGTAGGTTGTTAATTAGTCTCGCCGTTTGAGTTTCATGCGATAACGTTCAAAGCTTGCCGTTCTAACTTTTTACTTTGCGATTACTCTTCCTTTACGCTTTCGTTCGTAGAGATAGAAATCGTAGCCTAGACTTTTGATGCTTTGCCGCAATCAGACAATTTTATTTCCTTTTACAAATGCTTTGCATGCGTTTCAGAAGCAAAATGATACTTGTTATTTCTCAGCGAATATTGTAGTAACATTTTGGTATATCTATTATCTTATACAGTTCTGAAATTATTAAAGGAGACCCGGCTGCAAAAATTGTACCTGTTTGTAAAAAGTCTCTAAAAAAGTTAATCCCTGAAAAAATGTATCGTTAAAAATCCTGCTTTTTGAAATAGCGATTTAAATCGTAATCCCTGACTGAATTCTGAAATATAGTGAAAATCGAAAGTGTACATGTTTAAACATGAATTTTATCAAACTTACTGTAAAAAAACAAAGTAAAAAAGCGCAGTAATTAATTCAGGAAACATTTAAGGAATTTTGTTCCTGGCAAATACATATGTGCACCCTTTTGATTTTCACTGGACGGAGGCAGACCCAACGGAATCGGTATAAGCAAAATGCCCTGCGTATCGTTTTCCAATGATCCCTGCCCGTTCGTTGACCGTGACGACTACTTGCGTTTCGTTGCAAACCGCTTTTACCCTTTCACCAATACTAACTCTTCACGCCTGTGTACATACTAGATACTTACGCTTCTCTGTACTTACTCTATCGTCATGATACCGCGGCTCACTGTTCAACAGTCCCCGTTCTGCCCACTTTTATCCGCCGGTTTGTCTGCCCACGTTCACACTTGTACGCATTGATACGCGTTTCACCGGCCGAGCCCGAGCTCAATAGCAAATACTAGCGCTGTTCAGAGATCACCTCGCCCTGCTTTTTAAAAGCTCGACAACATTTTCAAACGAGGTGTCGTGTTTTCATAACATCGAATAATTCTCATAACATTTACTGATTATCGCATAATTCGTTTCTGATCAATTAATCACACTCCGTGTTTATTGTTCTCTTCTCTGACTTTGAAGAAATGGAAAATTGTAAAGTAATCACTTCAACTAAATTGCAGACAGTAGACGCTGTCAGTGAATAATGAATAACAGTTTTTTCGTCGCGCGCTTTAATCATATTAAGGATCTATTGGCTATACAGTCAATCCCAAAGGTTTATGCACTTTAGAAACGCATTTTTTAAAAAGGAATCCGACGTCTGATTTCTTTTTAATTATAGGAAATGCGTTTCTCTAAGGTATATAAACTTTTGGGATTGACTATATAGCCAATACATCCTTAATCACCGCAGAAACCGTGCAAGTCAAAGTTTCTATTACCCATCATTATATGATCGTTACGTCAGAGATTTTACATATACATCTGGTATATTGGTACTTTTTCGTCGCATGCAATACAATTAAAATAAAAGTCAATCATCATCGCCTCAGGATATCACCTTTTTGCCATACTTTAACTCCTTGAGCGATTCCATAAAACTCGATGAAGTCATTTGACTTAACTTTTGTTCGAATTCTCTTTGCTTCAATCAATAGTTGAAATACTTAATCGTAGGCGAAGTATCGTATTTTACTTGTTAACCGATAACGCTCAGGGTGTTAAAAAGTCGACTTGCCATCTGTAACCCCCGTCATCAAATCAGTGAAATGTTGCTTCAGAGATGGCGAAGCCCGTGCAACCGGCGGTGCTGCCCGAAAACGGGCGAGGCGAGCAGCCCGATGAACGGGACAATGAAATCGTCATCGAGCTGGATCGGGAAAATCAGTATGGTCGTACGCAGCCAAGAGCTAACGAGCCTCAAGGTAATCATTTGCACAATATCCAGATGATCCGCATCCCGTCACGTTACATTCTTCTTGATTCATTAGCGCACACCTCCCACGTTTCCCATTTTATGTTCTCACTCGACATGTACATATAAGTGTACGGTGACTCTTTGAATTACTCGAACGTTTACCATAGAAAATAGAATTTTGATAAGGAAACTCGTTTGGGAAAAATAGAGATGTTATCATAAATGTGTGTGGATGCTCCCTATGGTAAAATCTTGTATCTTCAAGAGTCATCATGCACAGAACACACGATTCTAAATCAGTTTTTACTATACACATAAGTAAGCTGATACCATTGGTTCATTTATTTGTTGCAGCTCTCGAGTGTATGTGTTTTATATGTATAAATTATGCAGCGTGTCCTAACTTTGTGTAACTCACCCCCGTTGTTCGTAACTAGTTGCACCCGAACTGTACAAATTTGCGTACCCTGTAATTTTTTAATCAGGAGCACCGTTCCGAGGATAAATTAATAATTGGCCAGAATAAAGCTACCGCTTCTTATTGAAGGTGCCACTTCGGATGATGTGCGTACGGTTGACTGGCAGTCGCTGCCTGTATTTTCCTTTCAAAGTTTCATGTCAATAGTTCGACCCATTAGTTTTGGGGATGCTGAGCTTCCGCGTGTCGACGAAGAACAGAACTGTAATCCGATTTCTATCGTCTGAAGGCGTGGCAGACTTCGAAGTCTGTCAAACACTTACAATAAAGTTCGAGCGTTATATGTCTGATGCATACAAAATAGTATGCGTGATAACGTGTGAAATAAATTGACAAATTCAAAGATAAAGATTGCCTCGCATTTACCTACTTCTCATTAAAGACATCTATTCATTGCACTATCCATTTAAAAAATAAACAGCAATATTTAATTTGCATACGCATATTCAATAACAAACTGTAGCTTTATTTCTAATAATTTTTAATACATTTAAATAGAAATATGAAAGCTTTAGAGAAAAGTCGTGTGCACACAAAATTCCAACTTGGCAATGGAATTCGAATAATGAAATCATGAAACTGCCCGAAGCCGAGCAATATAGTTTCACGATTCGATTTCTTCCTGCTGGGACGTAACGGTGTAAATGCAACGCGTGGCTCGGGTGGACGCCGCATTCGAACGGTGCTCTAGATAGAATCGGAGTAAACATTTTTTAACAGGCGAACAGGTTGAAACGCGAGCACCGTTCGGAGAATCGGTAAGCACGGAACCGATCGCGTTGCGACGTTGACACGCGAAATCCACGGGGATTGTGGGCGATCGAATGATTCGCATCGCTGGGACTAGCGTTAATGACACGCCAATTACCTTGTTTGCGTTCCCATTGCTTTTTACGGAAAGTGAAATGCAATTGTATTCGCGGTGGAGTTGTTTGTCCCGACGTTCCACGAGAGTTTTGCTCCAATTGTTACAAAGAGGAAATGATATTAATATAATTTTATAGGTGCGACAGTTCACTTTTGAGGACAACTTATTTATATATATTAAATTGCGAATTATTTCCAGAGGTTTCTAATTATAAAACAATTATATATAAAACTCCATGCAACGCATATCCATTCTGCAACAAATTTATTTCGTTTTACAATATTTTTAAACTCATAGAGAGCCATAAATCGTATGCGATGCTAATTTAGTTTCACTTGCAGACGTGATGGTTTATTCAACGCCAGTGGTGTACTCGGCCCAGACGTTGACGGGTGCTCTGATAGGAACCTGCTTCTTCTCCCTGGTAGCCGGTTTCGCGTCCGGCTTCTGGTTCTCGCAGAGGCTGCGAGGCCCCCCGTACCCGGAACCGTCGGAGCAGAGGCAACAGCTCAATCGGCTGACGGAGAGCTCCGAGTCGCCGGGCTTCAACAACAAGTCAATCAACCTGGTGCTGAACGTGCCGCCGAAGAATCCAAACGGGAAGAACGCGAACTCGTCGGCGGAGAACAAACCCGTGCAGAAGGTGAAGAAGACGTACATATGATATAGAAGGCGACACAGGGCCGTTTGAGGCTTGCCGCAGGACCCGACGGGTTCCGGCTCTTCATCTTCCTCCTCTTCCTCCGACCTCGCGGAATCAGACGATCGTAACGACGACGACGAAGACGACGACGATCATGCGGACAACGGCGACGAGGAGAACGATCCCAGTATGCTCGATCATCGGTTGACTGACGATCAGGACGACGAGGACGCGTACGAGAGCGTAGCCAGTGAGGAGAGGCCATTGGAGTTCCTCGCCACGGCTAGGGAGCCGGCCTACGATTCTCGTTCGATGCCGCAAGTCGCCGATTACGGCAGGCGATACGAGCACCGGTTCCCCCAGCGGGAATACACGGAGACCACGTTGACCGAGCCGGTGAATCAGGATTACAGCAGCAGCAGCGCCAACAGCCTCGACGACCTGTGCCGAGCGGGGCATAGGCGCCGAACGAGCGACTTGGCACGCGAGGACGAGGATATCACCCGGGACCATTATATGGTGCCCACCTGCGACCCCCGGGAGCTGAACGAGAGGATCCTGTCGCTGTTCAACCCACAGTTCCTGCCGAACTTTAACGACATGATTATGTACGTGGCAAATCAGTACGACGCGAGACGCAGCCCGCCGCCGAGGTCGAGGTCGATCGCCGAAGGCGAGGGTCGACTGTTCAGGAGCTCGAGCTACAGGAAGAAGCGCGTCGCCGCAAGCTCGATGTTCTTCCGCCGCGGAGTGGCGTACGAAACGGCGCGGAAGTGACACCGGCTGTCCCCGTTCGGATTTAAACGGAGGATACGACGCTGGGTGAACCGGGTAACACGCGACAAATAAATAAAAGACTGTCGGTTTCGTGTTCGACGGAGATCGGTCTCGATACGGTGGGACGATTGCCAGATTCTCCTTCGAGATTGTCATGGAGGATATTTGTCAGAGCCCTGTTTTCCGTGTAGCTGACCACGATTGTGCACCTAGTGCCGGGTTACATGAAAGATCGCGGATTTGTTTTATCGGCGTCGTTATCGTCGAACGACCGGTTCCGCTGCGCTGTCCACGTGCTTCCGGTGTCACGTATCGCATCCATCGTCCGACGCGCACCGCGAGAACAGAGAACGCGCGCGGCTCTGGGAACTATTTTTTTAAAATATAATCGCTATCCTGCGCGATGCCACTTTAGCGCGAGGCATCCGACTGGAACTTTGGGCTAATTTTGTATTCGGAACCTCGAATCGTTTTTCGAGTTCTTCCTTTCCGTTTCTCACCAGTACGGCAATGGCGGGATGTGAGACGAAGCGAAGAAAGGGGAGGAGGAGGCGCGAGGGAAAATGAAGCGAAGCGACAACGACGAAATGTAAAATCAGACTCGTAGCTGTGTAATGTGATACGATCTGAGGAAAGACTGTGTTCGTAGCAGTGACCTGCTTAGGTGCTTAGGAACCGCGGTGATTCAAGGACGAAGACGAGTGCGTTCCATCGCACGAGGACTTCCGCTTCTCGAACTCGACGGCCAGAGGGAATGATCGATGAATAAAAATTTTTAGCCTAACTGGATTCGTTTTACAGAAAGGGAGAAGCTTGCTTCGAGTTCGCTTTGTCCGCTATCCTCGAGGGAAAGTTGAAAATAATTAAATTGGAGGGAGGAGAATTTTCAAAGCAAGTGGATTTTCTGAAGAGGCAGGGGGCGGAAAGTTTGAGAAACGCAGGGTCCCGTGGACGGAACGCTTGAAAGCATTCGTGCGAGGCGAGGCGTGCCTTCCGTATATTAATTGTTGGCAAATTTCTGATCTATAAAACACGGGAACGGGAGAATGCTGGGCCGGTATCGATTCGGGCAAGTGCCTCATTTATGCATTTCGTTTAAAACAAAAAAAAGAGAGAGAGAATGAATAAGAGAGAAGGGACGCGATGCTGTAGTAAGTGAAAGAGACAGGGTGAAAGAGAGAGAGCGAAAGAGAGAGAGAGAGATATAGAGACTTATGTAAGACTTAGTCCCAAGTATTGTTGTGCACTTATTGCCGTGCTGTGAGTATTGGTTATTAGCAAGAGAATGGTGACGTTCAGACACGTTGATGAAAATTAAAAGAAAAAAAAAACAGAAGGAAACGTTTAACATCGCGCCGTGTGTGCGGTGTCTTCGAGGAGAGATTCACGTACTTGTATTTTTCGCTGAGACACGTTAAATCGCTTTAAGAATGCAGTATGAAACTGCAATTCTTCTTCCTTCTTTTTCATTTTTTAAACTAAACGAAACGCGACATTGCATCGCGAACGAATCGCTACAATGCGATTATCCAAATATGCGTGATATCCTCCTTCGTGTAAAAATTTCGATACTCAAACCATAATAACAATTTTTATACACTCTAGAAGTGATATCTATGAAGTAGAAGAAAGTAATTTTCTCTTAACGAACACGTTTATTTAGTTCTTATTACATATTATTTTCTATATAAAAACGACTATATAGAAAATGTTATTTTCCTCTATTAACTAATAGTGTCGCGATTTATCACGAAGCTTGTTTTTCTAAATATTTTTCAATTATGTACATATGTACATATTGACTATGCTATGCTACGCTGTACTGTACTCCTAATCAAATCTAACGGCAAAGGCAGAATATACCTTCGTAGAGGAGCGAATAGAGAGACACTATTTACGTAGAGAAATATTCGATAAACTTCGACTAACAAAGATTCTGCTATATTAGGAAGAGAATGTAATTTTAAAACGAATTTCATCGAACGGCCGAGTTCTATTAAAAGCTCGCCAGGAGAAGCGGATTTAGAACACGTTTCGCGAAAATCGATTCACGAATCAAACCAATATAAATATCGGAGGAGAGGGATAAACGCATTCAAGCGATTCGTTTTTCAGTCTGGTACCCCTTGGACTGCCGGTACTTCGTGTTACCCGACAACTTTAGCGAGAACTTGACAGACAGTTCTCTCCAAGACTTGGTATCTTCGAAAGAAGCTCGAGAGACAGGAAAGGGCCTGAAAGTAGAAGAGTAGGTCTTATTGGCGTGTTTGGCAAAATGCCTTTGACAATGGCGTAAATCGGTGTTATCAGCGTACAATAGCGAACACTGGGCGTATTTCCTTTACAGCTTAACCGCGGATAGAGTGCCTGCAAGAACCTGCGGCTAACGTTTGTCCCAGATATACATCGGCGGGGAGAACAAAGAAGAAGGGGACGTGGTCGTGGAGCCACGAAAGTGGAACGATTCAATTTTCTTCTCGATCGCGAAAATATTCGTTAACTAGAATCGGGCTCAATCCCTTGCCTTATGATTTTTCTATTGTTTGATTGTTTGATCGTAAAACAAATGAGTAATTGTGTAATATAGTTTTAATTAATGTGCAATATCTGTATTAGCATTGAATTGAAACTAATCTTATATGAATTTGAAATCTATATCGAGCGCGACTCAATGAAGTACTTAATCAGAGGCAAGCGATTAGCCGAAGCGTGTTTGTTTAAAAAAACATTAGGATGGTTAGATTGTTAGAGATTATCGGCTTTCATTCGAGAGACGTTGTTAGAGATATTATATAACCGAATCGACTCGATCATTGGATAAACGTTCAGCCGCTCTCAAGTGAACGAACACTGCCGCGTCAATTCTAACTTCGCACCGAACAAACGAGTGAAAATGAATTTTACATAAGCCATTATCGATTTTCACTGATTGTCATCGAGCGGTAATAAGAACGGTACACAAGAAACAGGAGGAAAGAATAGTTTCGGAGAAGAAGGCTTAACGCAAACGGTAAAAGCGTAATAGAAAACTTAACGGAGAGTCATCCGATGAGGAGGCACGGTCTGAATAATTTGAAAATCGAACGACGTTGCGTGCTGGAAGAAAGGAGAAAGTCGTTGTACATAGGAATAATGATAATTAGAGATTGTTTTTTATCATTCAATTCATTTCAGGCAGTATCAACAGTAAATTCATTCGTTACGCTACTCGTCACGCGGACAGCAGTAGTACGCATCGATAAATAATTACCGTTCACGAGTACACGTGTTATTCGTGTACGGGTAAACGCGCGTCGCATTTTCATTAGTACATATACACACACGTACACATATAAATATATATACACACGCATATTATACAAGAAAAATTATATATATATATACATCTATTTTTTTTTTAATCCGCATATAGATAAAAATATACTCTTACTATATGAACACGTGAACGAGAGTGAGTCAGCGTGAGAGTGAGAGGGAGTGAATGAAAAACGCGCTAAACAAGAGAGGCAGCTAATTACAACACTTTTTTCGGTGGCACTTTGTGAAAGTCCGCTATCTTTTTTAATTAAAATTCATCCGGGCACCCTGCAGTTAGAGACGGTCTCTCGTTAACGTTCGTCTTCGACAAACCAACAACCACAGTGATGGGTGTTCGGTGAAAAAAAAAATATTTTACAAAAAATACGATGTTTATATTATACAAATAAAAAAAAAATTGAATAAAGCATCCAACTTAGGTACCTTGTGTCGAGATGAAAAATTATATTATATATATATATATATTATAAATATATAAATATTATTGGCAGATTGTTATATGCTATAATATTTCTAAATTAGACGAATCGAGGAGGCATATAAATAAATAAATATATATATATATAAATATTATGAATGTAAATGTATACAAATCGTTTTACTAGAATTTAACGCGATTAATTAATTATTGTAAGAGACGACATTGTAAATAGATTATTATTATTACTCCGTTTAAAACTGACTTCGCCGCGTTCCAAATTTTTACACGAGATATGATCTGGGAAGGAAACAGATTTTCTTTTTACATTTTCATATTTTATTCATTTTTATACGTGTCCTGGTTCAGTTTTAAATCGAGATAAGCAAACATCAGAGGGCAAAAATTTGACGAGAACCGCGCGTGACGCGAAGAACGAATTTGTACGTGTGCCTGATTTAATCAAGTCCTTAATTAATAATGTAAATTAAACTATTGTACACGTTCGAAAGGTAGAGACTCTTGTCGTTGAAATTTGTTCACTTGATCCGGAAATTCTAAAGAACAAAAATTCGAGAGACGCTAAATAATCCGCTTCGCCGCTAATCTACCGCATGGTGTGTCCCACGAATCGAGCGAGGGAAATCCGTTTTTCTTGGCGAACGAATCCGCGAGGAATCCGGCCAGGTCTTACTTTACCGAGAAATCGGTCGTAGCCATCGGAAAGTTTGAGCGATCCAGCGATATCTCGCGCAATGGCCAAGCTATTCAAACGATTCCGAAGTATTCAAGTTATTCCATCGTCGGCTACGTTTCCCCCCGGAGCCCCGATATTCTTATGCGTTTCACGGATTTGAAAGTCGAATCGCTGTGTTCGATCGGCGCAAACATCGAAAATATTTTGGGACATATCACTCGCAAGACTTAGGACACTTTCAATTTCAAAATACAATATTCATCGTTTATAACAAAATCTAATAAGAATTATAAAGTGCGTTAGTTTAATTGAGAGAATGTAAAGGATCGCAGTTAATAATTTCAATCAAAAACGAATATGAGCGTTGAAATTCAATGTGAGAAACCTTATTTGTTTGACACATCTGATTTTTCTATTATTTTGTAACGTGCCCTGAAACTTTTGAATAGAAGTATAAATACGTTTAGGGAATCGAACAAGCGTCACGCGCCAGCGCCAGACTGTAACGTAATTGCGATCGCATTAATTAGGTAAAGTAAATGCAACATTCCAAGTAGGGCTGCCAGGACTGCCTGACCGGTTGGCAAACAGCAGCTGGAAACTCGTGACAACTGATAGACGCGTTTCACCTCGCGAACGTCTTCTCCAATTTAACGAGCAGTTTTACCGAACAACTCATTTTCAATATTCCACTGTCGATTCAACTAAAACAACACAAACAAAAAATATGGAATTCGCCTGACGAAGCTGACGAGGCTTTATTGATTCATTTCAACGAATGAAACGCGTTTTTTAATTAAAAGCTTTCCAATGTCGCATTGAATCGAATCGAACTATTATGGAGCTACAGAGTTTTTATCGTATATCAGATTTTTTAATACAATCGTAGGCGCGCGTTACGTTTTTACGGCGAAAAAATTCTGAGGACACGTTTAATATCACTCGTGGAGATTTTCAACAGAGCGCATCGAAAATTGATGCGTATTCCTCAGACAATCCAATATTTATGCCCGGTATTAAGCTTCCTCCGATGCCGCGGCCGGATTTTTATTGCGCGTCGTAAAAAAAAAGGGTAGCAATTCTTACTGGCATAAATCTTCTTAACTCGAAGCGCGGACTTGTCAGGCTTTACGACTGACGTTTTCAATTATGATAATCCGCTTTGAACGAACGCGGCAAACGAAGCAATTATCGTTCAAATATTAGTTACTCCTATTCGTTAGGTAATCAATTTCCCTGCTGCGCCTGAATTTGCTCGATGACGTTGACGATTATCTATCCGACGAGATAGTGATCGTCGTTGATAGCGGACATCAATTAGACAATATCAACGATAATTTAGCGTTTATCATTTCCAGTTAAGCTGTCGAAGCTTTTGAGAAATATTTACTCTAGCACATACGTATTTTAAATTTTATACAACAAAAAAACTACAAACAAATATTCGTTCCGGTTAGATCATCTACTTTTGCTCATATCGACTTCATTGGCACAGATAAGTACACTTCAGCTATTGATTGATAGCACTAATTGTAAATTTCCTACGAATCGTTTTACTGGGATAGAGATAAAACGTTGAGTTATTGGATAGGAAATCGATCGCGAGTACTCTTAGATTCCTAAATACAGGCATGAGTACTCACGGTACTAATGTACGACGAGTGCTATCGAACGGTGGGTCACAGCGTTAAGTGTATTACCGTACGCTTAGGAACGACGGACGGCAGTCCGGGCGCACATGTTTGCTGTGCCAATGCAATGCGTTTTCTGTACATATAGGCGTCGTAGCCCTAATTAACATTAGTTAGAGCGTAGCTGGGATCGCGTTGACGCGACGGCGTACACGCGTAGAAGTAATCGATAAGGACACGCGAAACGAGTCATCCGACATAATTTTCCACGCGTTTGTACAACCATCACTTTATTAATTCCGTTCGCGCGTTTGCTATGACGAAATTATGCTAATTTTCGATCTGCGGCTAGTTAGAAAAATTATAGTTGCATTACGCTTAAGAGAAATTTATGTGGATCGTTAATCGTTTTATTTACTTAGATCGTTTTTGTAATGCAGCGACGTTCTATTTGGTTTTAATTGTCTTTGCACTCTTCTGCAATGAGGAAGACCATAATGCCAGCAGTACACTCGTATCGAGGCAAGTGCTATCTTGCCTCGCATTATGATTTTCTCGTAATAAAAAAATCAATTCGAAGCGCCGACGACATGAGATAAGGCAACACGAGGCGAGACGAGCGATGCAAGTACCTCCACAGAAGAGTACTGTTAGCATAAAAATAGGAAAGAAATAAGATGCGCGTTCAGAACTAATCTATTTCAAATCAGACTTCTGGAGTGCAAAGAGCTGTAGGAATTAATTTGTATAATAGTTATCGCAATTTTAAAATTGCCCTCAAAGAGACGAAATAGAACTCCGCTCTTGAACAGCGCTGAGACCTTAAAACGAAAGTTCTGTAAGTCTTCTATTATTAGTCGCTCAAATTACTGACGAGGTGTCAATAGGAAAAATCGACGGAGCAGCGAACGCGTGAACGAATCGCTAGGAACGGGGTTGCTCTATGTCTGTTGCCACGCTAAGTAAATATGATGATGACCTGCGTTTAATCCTTTATTTCGTAGACAGAAAGTTTCCAACCAGAGGTCCATTGCTTAAAAGCAATGTTATTGAATAGAGGATTGAAATAAAGGGTTGTACGTTATCCGGGGCAGGCGAGTTGTACGTGTGTTCGACAGCATACGGGGACTTCTGATTTGTACAATAATACTCATTTCGTTCGAGATGTAAGTTAGGGCTTCTTTCTGAATATACGATAACGCGTATATACATATTATAAATAGGGATGAAGTGGATGGTGACACTATCTTAGTAACGGCTACCTTGACATACTACGAATAGTATTATTTACTACCGTTTCACTATGTACTGATCTTCGTTACGTTTTAATCGATAACAGACAACAATCGTTTTACCCATTTATAATTCTTTTGAGAAACCCCTGCGAAATAATAAAATGCGCTGACCTACTACACTGTCCGCGTATCACGGCAACAACTCGTTTTTATTCAACTTTATTTTATTTCTTTTTTATGTAAGTTACATTTCGAGACTTGTAAGTAACTGCGTTAGGTGGTACATCACCTCAAAGTCTTTAACAGAAGATCTACCCTCGTTTTGTCATTTTTTATTCAGATCTTCTTGTTTCTCGTTTTTTTTAACTATGGAGACATTTGAAAGGAGCGAAAATAATGAGATTTGAAAAAAAGAACTACTGCCACGGACGGGCAATAAGCTTCTAAATTACAGTGTAACTTTCTATCGCTATAATAAACAAAAACCGATACGAATTTTGTATCTGTGTCATGCCACCGGGTCACCGATGAAATCGCCTTTCGATTCGTTCGCTCGATACACAATAACTGAAGTCGCGTACAAAGTGAAAGGAAACAGTTAAAAGAAGAATGGTTTCGGAAATAAAGTAGAATTTTCGTAACATTAGTTTTCATCGAGGCGAAAGTGTACTAGAACCGAAAATTGTCTTCGAACACTTCGCACAAGACTGAGGAGCTTGTATATAATTAATACATTTAACGCAGTACGTACTACATTTGATATGAGAGAGAGAGAGAGAGAGAGAGAGAGAGAGAGAGAGAAAGAGAGAAAGAGAGAGAGAGAAGAAAAAAAAGTGTAACCAGGCGTTCATCCCCGTGAGGTTCAGTTTATTACCACTACATAATAATAATAATTAATTGTAACAGTATAAAAAAAAAGATTGTAAGTTGTACATACATACGAAGAAAAACAGACAAGGTCCTACTATAATCGCGAGATACATGTTACTACCGTTGACACGGCGTTATCACGGTTCGCGTTTGCACAATTTTTTTCTAAACGAACAAAGAAAACGACGCGACGTACGCGAAGGAGACGACGAGCTGTCGCATCGGCGAGGGAAGAGAGAGATTTCCTATTTTTCAGCAAACCCGAGCACATTGAATAAACGTTGAAGAGAAAACTGCGCGTCGAGTGCAACACGAACACGCCCGATCCAGTGGACCAAACGAATTACATACATAACATACACCGTCTGAGTTTCACTCAATTCACCCCTGTTTCTCATGCCATTTTACCCTCTTAGCGTTCGATAGATGACAGATTTAAGATAGGGAATCGATAGGTCCGATTAAATGGCAGGGGCAGGCATAATCTCGTGGCTATAATTAAACAAGGGGCTAGATAACTCACCTGCTAAATCATTCGCCTACCAGCAATGAATTAAAAGAAATAAAACGAAAAGTAATCAGCTAGAAATCGTTATCTTTTTCATGATACATAATATTTAATCTTTGCTCGAGCATCTCGTGAGAGAAACGTAAGAAAAAAAAACAGTGCCGACGTTAGAGTAGTAACGTCGATGGTAATGGGTTTTTTTGTATCGAGTGTCCGTGATATCCACTCTAAACGGTAGTAAACGAATTATAAATGCGAGTAAACAAAAAAAAATTCCGCAAGAGATCCGCTTATGAGTTACATTTACATTTACAATCCAGCTATCCAATACGATAAAGTTAAAATAGAATTAAGATGAATGTCACAAGTAATGTAAACTCTGAGAATAATGAGATGAAATAAACAAGACGATGATTCAAATATAAACGAAACGTGTATTTTCCTTGCGTTACAATAAGAGGTACATAAATATCATTTGTTTTAAACTTCTGCTGGAGTTAGAACACGATCGTTAATTAAAATCGATTCTCTTGTATCCTTTAAAAATCGAGCTTGGACTCGACTTGGACTTGATTCAATGGAACGTCAGAATATACATGAAATGGAAGCACTCGTTCCTATCTTCTGTTTCCTGTCACCCACCGCTTTTATCTTTCAACGGCATGTGGGAACTTTTTGTATTAATTTGCGCGTGATTCGTGATTCGCCTAGGACTCTTCCTAGAGAAGCAACTTGTAATCTTTTCACGATTTGTATATGCCAGTAAGCACGCCGTTAATCACAATATCCGGAAGACTGTTTCTGGTGTTCGGCCGGACGTACGGATCACAGTGGAACGTTATCACTGATGACTGATGACCAAGAGTGTACATATGATCTTGCTGCTGATCCTCCTCCTCCTCTTCCTCCTCCTTATTAACATGTGTACTGAAACAAATTCTTCTTATGAGTCCTTGCGCTTGAAGTTTCTTTAATCTTTCTGATACCATTTATCTTATTTATTTAATTACTCCAAGCGACAGACGCTGATTGTGCGTAAAGAAATTTTCAAATGAAGAGAATATCATCCCGCGGAGGATGTACATATGTTTGAAGGTGGAGACTTGTAACAAGTTTATGGGTGTTCTTACATAAGCGAGTACCTTTTATACGACGCGACAGGCGAGCGATCCTCTATGCCTAGAAAATTGAGAACCTGTTGCTTCGCGGTTGGAAGCCTCAACATTTTTTGGATGTAAACTTCAAGCGCTGCTCGCCTCTGCTCGAGTACTTTCGGCTGGCAGTTTCGTACCTTCTTCGGCGGGAACGGAGCGACGTCCACATTGTCCTTTTTCAGCTGCAGTTAAAAATCACTCAACAAAATGATAATAATTATTTTGAACGAACACGTTCACTGATTTCATTTTCGTACATCACAGTTGTTCGTAAAGAGATGTTAATTAACTATTGCACACGCTTGTTAACTTACAATTTGAAACATGACTACTGATTAACGACTGCTTGCGCTGTGTGAAAAATATTTTTTACCACCGACCGCTAATTCCTGCGCGGCTTTCAAGCGATCTGGTTGCGCTCTAAAAGAACTCTAAAACGCTGGCCACGCATATGTGTATAAAGTTTCATAAATGTTTTGTACTGAATCAGTTGTTGAGGAATGTAGCTACGTAACTCGTGCATCGTGAAAACGTTGATGAAGCGAGCTATTGATATGACTAATCATCGCGCGCTATCGGAAATGTATACGATTCAACGAGGGACTAATTAATTGCCTATTTGATTTCCTCAATTAGATAAATATAAAAATCCCAAAAAATTCAGTTGAAATAACTAAAAATTCGAAAGGAGTTTCAACGTATATATTTTTATTGTCCGTAAAATTGCAACGGAGGAAACTAAAGTTAGCATATACATATATGCACATACATTTGCGATGTAAATACAGGCGTTGTGCTATTATATAATCCACGATTACTGTTCAGTATTTGATAGTAGCCAAATCCTCGGTTAATCTGAATTAACTTCATGTTTAGCCATGCAACGGAACAGTGAATGGAAAAGAAAGTAGAGTAGCTAGAATAGTAAACAGTAACGCTGTCCTTGTTCTTCTGCAGTTTCTAGTCATGGATAAAGATACATTTCCCCTTCTCTCTTCCACTGCATTTCGCAAGAATGAAGATATAGTTTTATCCATCTATATCTATCCTTTTTACTACAATTGCCCGTATGGCTACAATAGCTGTAAGCAATTCTTTCTGTTCAATTGTTGTTGTTCTTCCTTTCAATAAATAATTTATGATACAATCTGATACATGAATTTTTTGCTGTTTCTGTGTGTTGTAATTCCCACCTTCTTCTTTAACCGTAAGACGTAGTATTACGTAGTAGTAGAATTAAAAACCCAATCATTCGAAGAGGAGGCAATAATTTACTTATTAGGCGGTATTCAGAGTCGTTATTTATTTTGAAGTCTTAATTAAGACGATCTTAAAAATACGTAACAACTATGAATACTACCCATTGTCTCAGTCGGACTTGGATTTAGAATAGAATCCGAGAATACCGCGAGTAGGAATTATACTTGCAGCCATCGCGACTCCCAGACAACAAGATAATTTAATAAAAGAGCGAGAACAGTTTTCTCAATGTGAAATAAAAATAGACCTTAACCAAGGACAAGCGTAAAATATATATAGAATGATTTTTAAAGATAGTGTATACACAAAGTACAATTAAAATTGGCCACATTTATTACCTTTTTCTAAAAAGGTTAACTTCTTAATAGATACATCAACACATTTCTAAGAATAACGTAAAGATTATGTATTTCTTTCTTAAGAGAGCAAGGAAACACAGCACAAGCACAAAGATCAACATTTTAAATCCGAATGCTCGTTCGTATTCGAATCTTAATTAATTGTTTCGCTATTAAGTTTTACTAACGAAAATGAAATAACAACATACCGTTCGATGAAGCGAGTTGAATTCACTGTATCTCCTCTCGACGAAATATCTAGCCCCAGCCTCGGACTCGAATACCTCGATGCAGTAAACATAATACGGCTTGCCGTGTGACACCTCGGCCAAACGGTATCCGTTAATGAAAACTTGATACATTGCATCGCTAGATACTTTCTGGAGCCTCGAAACCCTTCCGACACGATTGACAACGCAGTAATTAAACGGAAAACACGGCGGACCGATCACTCATCACTGTTCTCGAAGTAAAATCAAGCGCCCGTCTTGTCTACCAATAGTGTCTGTCACTGTCATTCTTTGTATTTGTACGTAGGAATTCCTATTGCTATATGTATGAGCAGGACAATAGTAGTATAGTAGTTCACGAGTCTAGCGCCACCTACTTAGGTATGACTATACCAGACTATACTTCTCCGTTTATGTTATGTCCATCGTCCGAACAAGGGAGGTGTTTATGCAGTTTAATCAACGAAAAGTTGTCCATTTTACAATTATTGAATGAAACGTATTACTCCCGTGATTTAGCGAGACAGTTTATACAATCATCTGTATAAAAAGATAAACGGAAGATCTGAATGTAACATTATTATAAACACAAACGTTACTTGATGTTTCCATGCAGTTCTTTGTTCAGTCTGAGGGATAATGTCAAATACGATAAGTGGTAAAAACTTGTTACGACCTACCGGATTGCAATGTAAAAATCTTCAGGAGTATCTGAAGTCACGTCCTCCAGAAATACTGAACAAGTTGTACCACAATCCTCCGATTTGTTTGGCGGTGTTCCGCGAACTGCCAGTAATAGCAAAACATTATGTTATGCGATTGTTGTTCGTCGAACAATCGGTACCTCAGGCCGTTATTGCTTCCTGGTGTTCCAAGCTTCATTTCGAGGAACACCAAAAAGTAGTTGCCATATTAAACGAGTTGAATGTGTGGAAGGAAGCGTCGATACCAGGTGGATTACCTGGATGGATTCTAAACACTACGTTCAAAAAGAATTTGAAAATAGTCCTTCTGGGTGGCGGAAAACCATGGACGATGTCAAATCAATTAGAAACCGATAGCAAACCTAGGGATGTGGCATTCTTAGACTCGTATGCTTTAGAAAGATGGGAATGCGTTTTACATTACATGGTTGGCTCACAGCAGCAAGAAGGTAGATTCTTCACTACAAGGAAATTAATTATTTTTGAGAATCTTAACACTAGATTGACTTTATATTGCAGGCATATCTGCTGATGCTGTTAGAATTCTTTTGCATGCTGGGTTAATGAAAAGAGATGAAGCTGATGGAAGCCCAGTTATTACTCAAGCAGGTTTTCAGTTTCTTTTATTGGAAACTGCAGCACAGGTATTTAAACAGAATTGCAAATATTACGTGCGTACAAATGTCTTAATATATTAAATTTAATGTTTATTCTAGGTATGGTATTTTATTTTACAATACCTGGATACAATAGAAGCAAGGGGTCTTGATTTGGTTGAGTGCCTTACTTTCTTGTTTCAACTTAATTTTTCAACCCTTGGTAAAGACTATAGTACCGAAGGAATGTCTGAGGGTCTCTTAACGTTTTTACAACATTTAAGAGAATTTGGTCTCGTCTATCAACGAAAACGAAAAGCTGGAAGGTAAAGTGTAATCTACTCTCTCCAGAATAATTGCTTGAGATAATCTTAAATGTGTTTGTAGGTTTTATCCAACGAGATTAGCACTCAATATTGCGACTGGACAAAACAAACCTTTGTCCAGGGATCCACAAAAGGAAGGTTACATCGTTGTTGAAACAAATTACAGAGTGTATGCTTACACTAATTCGAATTTACAAGTCGCCTTACTTGGTCTTTTCTGTGAAATGTTATATAGGTATGATTTGAAGTCTTTATTTTGTATAATACCACTCTAAAATTAACACATAAACATAAAACATTAACATAAAACACATTTTTATAGGTTTCCAAACTTAGTTGTGTCGATATTGACAAGAGACTCTGTACGGCAAGCTCTAAAAAGTGGGATCACAGCTGCTCAAATTATAGGGTTTGTTCCTTTTAAAATAATTTTGTCGTATGCCAGAGTATGAAAGAAAACAGTTAATTTGCATTTTGCTATATTGACAGTTATTTGCAGCAACATGCTCACAGTAAAATGATAGAGGCAGGTCCTCCAGTTTTACCTCCTACCATAGTTGACCAAATTAAATTATGGGAGAACGAGAGGAACAGGTTTATATTCAGCGAAGGGGTTTTGTACAGCCAGTTCCTTTCTCAAGCTGACTTCGAAGTCCTCCGGAATCATGCTCTTTCCACTGGAGTATTAATTTGGCAAAGTGACAGGTTCTGTTCTTATACTAAGTATTTTATTGTCAAATGCTTTATTTCAAGAAAATCTTATGTGTTCTAATATTTATTTATAGAAAGCGAACTATGGTGGTTACGAAAGCTGGCCACGATGATGTAAAAAAGTTTTGGAAACGATATTCGAAAAGTTCCAGCTAGTTAGAGTAATTATAGTAAAATTTGGTGTACAACTGTAATGTATTTTTTTCAATTTCCATATCTGTAAGATAATATGAAATAAAACTACGGAAAAGACAAATACTACAAAAGAACGAGTTTATTTTAAACAGAAAGTAGATTTTTATTTTTATCATAGAGCCCTAAATTGTCCCAATGTACAGAAGTAATTACCGATTGAAACTTACTTTTCAGTTTAATCACATAAAATATATTTCAATTTGTTTGTTAAAATATACCGAGTCAATTTTAAATTATATATACGTACATCGAACAAAGTATGTAATGTTCAATTCTGTTGTAACACGTCAGCGTCAAATATACACGTGTTAGGTGGTAAAGGAGCTTGTTGTCAGTGCTGTGGTGGTGACGGAGTAGGTTTCGGCATTTTGGCTAACAAACCTTGAATCTCTTTCTTTTCGTCATACGTTTTCCACAGTTCGTACAAATTAATTATATAACGTGCTATCTCTTGGATCTTTTCCATGTCAGCGTTCAGTTCAGCGAACCATGACTTCAAATCCTTTTGCAATATCACACAAGCTATTTGTAAGCATCCTGAAAATATTTTCATTTATGTCTATCGTTTTTCATTCGATGTTTTGATTGTAATTTAGCACTATTCTCTTACCAATAGCTATTTGGTATGGTGGATACAATAAGCACACATCGGTACGTAAACTATCATTAATTATCCTCCATGCTAACGTTAATAATTGTTCATCTGGACCCACATCTTGTATAAGAATTAATAGAGGTCTGTATGGTTGATATACTATTAAACAACAGTCTAAATGTTCCAAAAGATAAAATTCACATTCTGAAATGTGACTTCCACGATATGGAAATTCTTGTGAATAAGCATAGTTAAACTTATTCTTGACTGGAATATCAAATTAAATAGTATATATCTTTTGAAAGAATCTATTTATAATTCTTTTATTTGAACGTACATACCTACAGTTTGGCAAGCTGCAATTAATCTGTTATGAGAAATTACTCCAAATTCTTCTACCTTCGATGCTAGAAAAACTGACGTAGGTGCTAATAACAGAGGGTCTATGCATTTCAGGCTGTTGCGAGCGTAAAATCTTTTGAAGTAAACAGTTGCTGTGGCTATGACTTGTTGCCTGAGCTTCAATTGTTCACCCAACACTTGTATTACTGAAATATGTATAAAGAATAGTATAGTAAACAAATATGCAGTTACATTAGACTCATGAGTAACTTATTATCTAGGTTGCAATTTTAAATCAAACGGACGATATTCTCGACTAATTAATGCTCAGCTTACAATTTGCAAAGAAGATGAACAACTTTTGATATTCTTCCTCCGTAAAAGTTAATAGATCGTGCTGTCGTTCTCGCACCAGATCCTGTTTATCTAATAACCACTGTTGACTGGAAACAATGTGAATTCTTTAGCATCTTATGAAATAAAATTCTTTTAAGTCAAAGTTATGTTAAAATATCTGCACTTACTGATGTGAACTCTGCCAAAAATTACCAGCCATATTATTTCCCTTGTTAATTAAATCGCCGCAACAATGCGCAGGTATCCTCAACGTGCCTCTGTTATTTCCAGATTCTGGAATACGCAGTTCTAATTTGAATCATCTGAATTCTTTACTTTAATCGCTGCATAAATACAAAATTCGACACGAACATCACAGGCGTCAACATCCTTCTCGCGGTCACTAACATTATTTAAATTCACGTTTCCTAAAACGACCTTGCTTCGGCTTATTGTCGTTCCTCGGCGTTCAGAAATTTACCGATTTTGCTCGCATCAGAGACGATTGTGCTCTTGCTGTTCGAGAGATACTATTCGAAACGATGTTCCGAGCTATGATACGAATATTCTATGGTACAATTCGTAACGCACGTGCACATGATCGTTCTAATATAGATCATACAATAATAATTCACGAAACATTGTCGCGAATAGCTTGAATGTAAATGGTAAAATGATTTTCCTCGAACAAGCGAGTGCAGTGCAACGAGGACTCTTATTATCTCAAGTGCACTCGTAGTGCTAACATTTTCTACGATGAATTACTAACCAACATTAGTACACACAGAGTAGAAAACGAGTAAAAAGCTGAATGACTTAACGTGGATCGATGCTCTTTTTTTCGCGTGGGAGTATAATAAAGGATAAAATCATCCACGTTGACTTATGAAATTAGATGCAAACAATATGAATTTAAATAATGTCATGCATTGAGCTTAAGGCCATTTAAATATTTTATCCCACACGAAGCTGCGGCGGAGACTATTTTTTAATAAATCACCTCCACGTCGCAGGTACCTAGTTTTCTCTACACTCCGTTTTATAATTTAATAATACCACAAGGTTCAATATTGTCAATTATATATTGAATCCTTCTATTAATAACGCGCTTTTAAAATTATCAGCTCCTATCCTTGAGCCTTTTCTCTGGAAAAGCGTGCGCATACTTTTCAACGTTCCACAACTACAACATAGTTTAATGCTTATATCTAGGAGGTATATAAATTCCAATATATTTACTTTGACAAAAAGTTTAATTATCGACCCATATAATTACGACTTATCGTCGGCCTAATAATTCTACCGGAAAATGAACGCTCCAAGTTCAGGGACGCGGTTAAATAAGGATATGCGAGCCGATGGAACTAATAAAGTCGATACTGTGTCTCGTGAGCTAACGAGCGTATTATTAAATTACAAGATAAAGGTACAACGTTATTATACGGTCTTATAGAAAATTATGAAAACGTTAATATTGATGACTGTATAAAAATTATTTTTAAAGGCTTACAGAATTATTATCTTCCTATTGTGTTATTTATAAAAAGATTTAAGTACATGTGATTAAGTAAAGAGGATAAGAGTTGTAAAATATTTATTAAAACAAATACGCAGGATCGGGAGTGTACAGGAATACGCGTAGTCTACGCGCTCTACGCGGTTTGCCATAGAGAAACGATAGCGCGCTTAATTATTAACATGACTGTATGGGCTGCATCGATGAATGAATCCTGTTGCGCAGACCGGTAGCTTTCATTGTAAAAGCGTCGATAGGCCACACCATATAGTCAAGTCAGTCGGGTTCGCATCGGGGTGGGCAACGTCGATGCGCGAGTTTCGCCTCGTACCAAGTGTTCGTTTCGCCGTGCGTGCGTGCCGCGTCCGAGAAAATATTGGCAAGTGATGTCCCGGATTAATTGGCCGCGAGAATGATCGGTGCCTCGTCTGGCGTAGCGGCGTTGGAAAACATGCGGAGGGAGAAATGTTCCCGAAACGAAAACGGCGGTCGGTAAAACTTAAAGGGAGCAGGCGTGGACTGTGGGTACGGAACGGGCGTGGGGATGAACTCAACGGGGAACGCGAGAGGGAGGAGGACTGGGGCGCTTCCTGTGGTTGGCACTAGCCTAAAAAAGCTCCATAAACAGAATCGCGGCCGAATGTCTTTTCAATGCGACGAAAATGGTGAAGTGTGGGAAAAAGTGGGCATTGAGTAAAGGGTTTGACAGCTCGAACCATGACAGAGGCGTCGGAGGAGTAAGTAATCACTTGCGGGAACCGAGCACGGCGATGCATACTATGTACTTTCCGATGGTTTGCTCCGCTCCGGGGTCTGAAACGTCCGTGGCTATCTATGGGTTTTAACGTTTTCCCCCTTTCCCGTCGATAATCGAAGCGTCGGTCGGAACGCGCGACACTTGACAGCTCCGTCTGACCTTATCCTACCCATTCCCCTTTAACGTATTTCCCACCTATCAATCGGTTCTCCTTTAAGCTCCTGGCATTTAACGCTCGGGATACGTAGTTTATTCTCTGCCTCGGGAACGTGTCGTGTTCCGCTCGAGCATACGAACATTTTTCACGAGCGAACGTATGATTTCAGTTTAAGTGTCGATGTGTTATCCCGTGTCCGTGTAGGGGTGACCGTTCATTCATTAAATCGATGTCACCGCGTAACATCTGCTATCGCGTTGTATATAACAGCGATTCTTCGCTTTCGCGTACATGTCGGTCTTGCGCGTTTTTTAGATCGCCTTTTAAGTAATTTCATTCGCGTACCAATTTCTCCCCGATTTCAAAACTATGAATGGAGCCTCGTTTCTTACATACCTTCTCTAATAAAAATGAATTTCATACGAACGTATGGAATACTGTCAATTAAAATGAAAATGTTTAATCAATTAAAGAGGAAAGCATAATGAGTATGTGTAACAGCAGTGTAAGTGTGATGGGAATTCACTCGGTGTGGTGTTAATTTATTGGCATTTCATTTTTAGTGGTAACTATCTAGTGAGGGTTCGTGCCCAGGTAATGACAAGGGATGACAGTTCAGGTGGTTGGGTTCCTCTGAGTGGTGGTGGTTTAGCAAATGTTTCGGTGAGACGGAGACCAACTTCTTTGAGTGGACACCAGACCAATAACACTAATGGATCTGGTGTTTCTACTACAACTGCCTCTAATACAAATACTACGCACTCTGTATCAACTACAGCTGCTGCTAATACCCAAAGTCATGGATCTTCTAATAGTTCCCCGTCAGGTACACCTAAGAAGAGGCACGAGTATCTTATTTATGGGAAACGCATCACTGATCAATCAGTAATACATCCATTTCTTAATCACAGTAGCACATAGTAGTTGATCCGTTGAGTTAAATGTCTGTCTGTTTCTCCACAGGTCGTTCTTAGCTGTACAATTAAAAAGGATTTTGAATATAATAAGGTAATGCCAACTTTTCATCACTGGAGGACAGGGGATAAAAGATTCGGATTAACGTTTCAAACGGCTGCGGACGCGAGAGCTTTCGACAAAGGTGTTCGTACGGCTGTTGAAGAATTGTTAGAAGGTAAATTATTAATTGGATCGGAGTAATTTTAATGAATCCGCATCGTTAGTAGATGTTTCATTAACTTATCGATATTTCGTTGCTACTTTTTGTGGAATGTGAAAATGGTAAGAGTGTTAGACTTATAAACTTCTATGTTCTACTGTTCACTCTTGTATGACTGTCTAACTGTGTTTCTACTTTGTTGTGCAGGGTTGACCAATTCGACGTTATCCGGTAATTCATTAGACGCTGGCGACGAAGATGTATTTATGGTAGGCATTCATCGTAGGCGAGTGAAATTTCTAGTGTTGTTCAGTATGTGTAAGGTTGAATTTGCGTTTTAGACTTTGAACTTACCTGTGGAACCGCTGGAACCGCGTCCATCATCGGATACGCCTCACGGAATAGTACGAGTTCCCAATTATCATTCCCAGTGTTCAGATATTCCTGATTCACAGAAACCTATTCATTATATTGGTGGACCATCAATAAAAGTGCCACCGTCTCAGCATCCTCTCGCGTCGGCCGAAGATGTTGGATCAGATAGCTATTCATACGTGCAGCTCACGACGCTTAATCACGAATACTTATATCCGATCATCGGCGATCATAAAGGAGACCGGTTGAATAGACATAATACCAGCAGTTCTCTCAAAAAACCGGATATTATAGAATCGCAACCAACTAAAACTACCATGGAACGTAATGTACAATTACGGTGTAAACATTGCCAAGAACTGTATACAGAGCAGCACAATCCTAGAGGATCTTGTGAATACGCACCCGATCCCATTAAACGGGGAATCGCAAAAATTTCGTGTCTGTCCTGTGCTCAGGGTATGTTGTACCACTGTATGAGTGACGCCGAAGGTGATTTCTCTCAGAATCCTTGCAGGTGAGTCAAATTTACTTGAAATATTACTGCCGTCAGTCCTGTTTCGTCACGATAGAATTCGAATATCGTGAGTGTATTTGATAATTACGTGTTTGACGGGACGATTATCAATACGTTGGTAAGGGCGCTAAGTAAATCAATATCGGCTTGTGTGCAGTTGTAGCACAGAAGAAGGATGCGGACGCAGGTGGTTTGGTTTGGCGTTATTATCACTGATCGTTCCTTGCTTGTGGATTTATCCTCCACTAAGAGCCATTCATTGGTGTGGCACGTCTTGTGGAATATGCGGTGGACGTCACCATCCGATGGAATAACTGGAGGAACCCTTTGATATCTCTGCTCCATATTCGGTTGAATCAACAACCAAGTTCTCTTCATCACGCGGTGCTGTGGCTAATGTGTATGAGTGTCACGACTTGAGTATGGGACGTTGTCAGAGGTATCAAAGGGGTAGACAGTTACCAGTACATGCACTTATCCATCAGCGTCATCTCTAAGAATAACTTGTTTCAAAAAAGGAGGACAAAAAAGTAACAAAAAAAGTAACACCCCCCCCCCAGAAAAAAATATTACACAAATTATCGCATTTAGCCGTGAAACCATGTATATTCCATACATTTTGTATATTTTATTAGCAAAATGCATTATTTAGTCACATCTGTACATTGAACAATTTGAGAATGGACGTCGTTTAGTGTCAACTCTGAATGATTGGTCCATCATAATTATATCTGGACTGACCAACTATTTGTGATACATGGTGCACAATGTAAGAATTCATTCAAGAAATGTGACACAATTTGTTATTCCCAGTTTGAAAGCTAGTTTTCGTCTCGTATATAAAAAAATGAAACAATAAAAGAGAGCGAGTGAGAGGGAGAGAGAGAAAGGAAACTGTGCCCTATATAATTATAAGATTGAATTCGTGGTGATCGACGAAGACTATAAAGACATGCATTAAAAAAAATCTGTGTGGTATTATAATAACTAAATTAATTTATTAATCTAAAACAATTAATTTATTAATCTAGTTTGTGTCTCGACACTTTCGTCACAAAATTAAAAGTAAATGCACCTCTATTATTAATGTAAAATATGTTATCTGAACTTTTTTTATTTTTTTAAGTACGAGTTTTGTATATTACTGTACATTTGAACCCAGTGTTGACATTATTTGTCTCGTAGTGTGTATTTATAAAGAAAATGATCTAAATTAAATTTAATTTAATTGAAAACGTATGTGTATATTTTGAAATTTAAATGTTTTATGAGAAAGATTGCGAATTTTTAGTCGGTTTCAATAATTAGCACAAACTGGTTGGCGAAACTTAAATTTTCAGAAAACATAAAGGCATTAAGCACGATCATTCGATGGAAAGTGATCGTGCTTACCTGGAGTAAATAATTTCGTTTACTATAACACGCAATTTGGTTTTTATATTCATTTTTTGTATTGTGCTTTTAATATTTACGAAATATTCATATTTATATAAACTATATAGCCGGTTATCTGTTAAATGAAATTTCTTACGCTTCACTACGTTGGCACACGATGTTACACGCTAAATAATATCAGTATTTACTATTTACTAGCATGGTACTTCTAGTACTATTCATCTTATTACTTCATGCGGAATGAAGATAAGCTTAAGAAAACTTTTAAGTACACGTATTGTCAGTTTGAGGCTTATTATGTATTGGAACATGTTTTCAGTTCTTAGAGCTAAGTGATAAACCGAGTTGTACAATATTGTAAACGACGTATCCACGTTGGCAATTTGTTTTGCACAAAACGGATTGTTTGCAGATCTGAATCTCTCTACTTTATAGTGTATGTATTATATATATTTCTGTAACATATTTGGCACTCTTAAAAGAACTTTCATTTCGCTCTACTGTTGTTATCCACTTCGTTATTTTTCTAATTGTACTAGCAACTAGTGAGTAACTCGTCTCATTCAATGTACTCTACAGTAATTGAAATGATCTTCATGATATTTGAATATTTAGGAAATTAAGGTATTTTTGAAAGATGGATGCTGTTGGTTTTTAGCAATAATTCTCCTTATTGATCAATAATTATACATTCTTTATGAGTGTTTCATGTTACGATGGTTGCAGAAAAATCCTTTATTCGCATTAAGCATTAAGCATCTGAATTTGATGTTCAAATATTAATTGGGACAAAATTAATTACGAACTTATTGAAGCGTTAAGAATGATTAAGTGTGGCACAAAAGCATAGTTATTTCCTTGCTCATTGTACGTGATCATAAATATTAATGCAAGCTGGGAACTAATAATTATAATTTTCAATCAATACTTCGAAAATGATATAATAGTTAGTACTGATGGATCACGTGACTGATGTAGAATAGAGAATTCTTAAAATGTAAATGGTAAAGTTAATCTCACCTTCGGAATAATTAATTAATTGCCCGAAGAGTTAGATCAACAAATTTTTTACAGAAATTTACTTGTTTAGGAAAGAGCATTAAATATTTTAGGGACGTACATGAAGTAAAGAATTAACTACGTATTATTGTTCAATAAGTTTTGTTTAGGAAAGAGCATTAAATATTTTAGGGACGTACATGAAGTAAAGAATTAACTACGTATTATTGTTCAATAAGTTTTGTTTGCCTTATATGTTTCTAGTCCAATAATAATAATGTATTTTTAGTTCAGTTTCTTAACTAAATACTTTTTTGTATCAAAAATTGTCCTGTGCTCTAAATTTAAAACGATCGTGTCCATAGACCTCGCACACCTATGCAACACTGTATATAATTTCATTAACAAATTAGATGAAACTATTTTACATAGGAGGAAAATTTTTTAGATTTTTTTGACGATTCTTATTTGTTGAGCTTTGAATGGCATTCGTACAAAAATTGTAGAAACCCTTGTTTTTAAAGCGTATAATACTGTGTAAATATTAAATTGTTTACTGCCATACAAAAATATTTAATTTTGATATCGAGAAAGTTTTGTTAATACCCGTTGATTCAAAGTATTCCTCTGGTACGCGTAACTACGATTTCTTTCTGTGTATGATATTTAATTAAACATTGCGACCCGTTTCTTTTTTAGTTAAAATAAGTACAAAAGATTTATTTTTTCAATAAGTCCGTTGTGATGACTCATACCAAAATGAGATGTAAAAGAATATGTTGTATAATCGTTGTCACAGGTGTAGTTTTGTATGAGAAGAGAAAAGTTTGCATGACTGAGCGAGCGTGTACGTAATTCTATTTAAATTTCTTTTTAATTATGAAGCGCGAATGTGGAACGTGATTGATCCAAGATATTAAAACGATGTCTATAATTATAATGATCAATAATGAATAGGAAATATAACTAAATATAGTTTGTACGATAATTATACGACAATGTTGATGATAATAATTATCGATCCACAGTCACGTATGGATGCATATACAAAAAGAGCGTGCGACTTATGTATATGCATGTAACATAACGAGCTGACGAACGCGGAAAAGTATGCACAATTATTAGAGAATATGTGTACACGAAAAAATATATGTGAAAGTTGTCAAACTGGGAAAAAAAAATGCATATATAAGGTGCCTGCTAGAAGTGGAAAAAAAATGTGCAAACACAATTTGGTGGCTCAAATGCGAGTTTCCATGTAAAAACTTAGAGAGTATTTTCACTGATGATGTAAATGCTATAAACAGTTAAAACGAAATACGATTTTAATTCACAGATTCATTATATCATAAATGTTTAAATCTTGTATCATTGTAATTATATAAGATATGTATCATAATCCAAATGTATAAGAAATAAATATATTGTATCATGACGAGATGTCATAAAATCAAGTTTGCTGTTCTGAAGTTTACGAAATACATTAAAGTGTATTCTGCAAAAAGAAATAATGCCTCCTGTTTTTAAATCACTGAATGCTCGTCACTATGAAAAACTGTTTAATTTATATTACATGTAATAAAATAAAGTTTACATTGTGCCAACTGTCTAAATAAAATATATACATAATTCATTTGAATAGAATAGAAAATATTAATGTGGAGCTGGTGTGTGACCGTCCACATAAAAGTTTCTTGTCGCTTTCGGAAGTTCCAATTCAATGCCGTCTAACTCTTTCGTTAAAATAATTTGACAACCTGAAAATAAGATTGTTTTAATCATTGCTATAAATAATGTCACTTTACTGTTTGTCTTTCGTGTACCTAATCTGGAATTCTCCTTTAAAAAAGGTGCTAGGTCTAATAAATCTTCTTCCTTTTCTTCAGCAGTCGGGAGCTTGTCCGTATAATTAAAGTTTACATATACGTGACAAGTGGTACATGCAAGTGAAGCTTCACAAGCACCTTCCATTTCAATACCATGTCTATGTGCTAAATACAGTACATTGTCTCCGACTTTCCCTTTCACAGATATCTTCTTTCCAGTTTTATCAATAAAAGTTACATTTACTCTGTAATTTAAATATTCCAATAATTAATACCTGTGATATACAAGACTATCGTGGTTGCATTATACTTAATGCTACAGAGTTTTGTCTCTGTTTAAGAATACAATTTACTTTGTTGCTTTTACCTACATATCAGCTTCCGACTTTGGATCCTGCATTTCGTATTCGCCATGGAAACAATCTAAAAACCATTACGATCATTTCTTTAGGCGATCAGATGCTATGTTATTTCTCACGTTATTTATAGTTTTACAAATATGTAATGTATTTACATTTCGATGTGTGGATTTCGGAACTTGGTACTGTCATTAAATGATTCATCGGTAGCAGTGATCTTATCATACTTTTCCATGTCGACGGTCTCAAAATTGATGTCATTTTAGTTTGAATTCCGCTAAGTAATCTTTTAGCGAAAACGTGTCAATGCCGCGCACATTTTACAAACAAACGCACGTACCTAATTTTACTCCAGTAACTGTACAACATATTGATCGGAAACTATAAAGAAAACTGGTGCTACAGTACATCCTGATTATCAACGAATCACATTCTTACACACAGCGACGGCGTGACGAGTGCCGAGTCTTTCGCTATTAGTATTCCTTCCTATGTGATTGCTATATGATTGTATCAGATTGTATGATACTGGATTCAACATAAATAAATGTAAAATTGTAAATAGAATTTAAACGTTAATATTTTACATGAATAAAATGTCGTTTACGGCAATATTTCGTGCAGCCAACTCAAGAAGTATGTGAACATTAGAGCACTGGTAAAACAAATTTTTAAAATATTATTTAATCATTTCTCTGCATATTTCAGACTTGGCTGTATGTGCTAATAAATTTCATACATCTGTGATATGTCTGGATTTAAGATGGAGAATGAAGTAAGACTTTATATTATACAGAATGATTCTCATAACGTGGCGACTTCAAATAAATTGTATTTTAAACTTTACTAACTCTAGGAAAGGTTTAGCAATTAATCCAAATGCTGAAGGACCACTGCTAAATCTACCAGATTATTCATTCAAAGATAAGGAAAAGCCTGTTCCTTATCGTGCAAGGCAATTGGGTCGTATACAGAAGCATCAAAATTATATGGTATTTCTAAAATTCCCACAATTTTGCGAAACGACAATAGTGTTAACAAGAAGACATTTATTACAGAGGAGGATAGCCCAGTTAGTTGGAGAAGTAGATCATGCAGTTGAGAAACACGCTAGATTACTAAAAGAGGAGGAAGAACGTAGACAACAAATCCTGGATAGTAAATTAAAGCCCAAGGGACAAAAGCTAATTAGTAGTGAATAATACTGTTTAGTCAATTTCATGATTTGTGAATAAATTTAAGATATAAATTGTATATACATTTCACTATTAGTCATCTGTAAACCTGTACAGAATAGATACTACCATTTTTATTTAAAAGACCGAAAGGGGACAAAAGAGTCGTTACAAAGATATACAACATATTGCAAACTGAAAAGTATAACTTTATTTTAACTCATAATCCGCGGGATATTTTATAAGTCGAGGTATTTGTGCTTGCTGTTCCTGCGGAATATCGTACAGTCTGACTGGTACGCGTCTCAGCTGTCTAATTTGATTGCTAACATTTTCTAACATTTCTTTGGGAACATTGTCATCAGGAAAGATGTGCAGCCTTTGCATAGTGTATCTTCTTTGCAAATTTCCATCCATTGAAGAATAAACTGCTTTCTTAACAATCTGTGTAATGGAAATGAAATGTTTGTATTAATTAGACTATGGATGTTTATGCAGATTTCAAAGACCTGCAGTTTAGTAATGATAATTGTATTAACTGTTTTGATAACTAGATAATTACCATAGTGGGATCTTTGCTATGTAATTCCCATGCAAGCGTCCAAGTAGCCCCGCCGCAATATGTAGTATGATGGAAGTATACACGCTTCTGCCACTCGTCACCACGTAAGGCAATCTGCTTGCTATTTATTACTATTACATGATCTCCACAATCATCTGTAGAAACAATTAAGTTTCAATGTATTGAATGCATCACAAGTATTAACATATACAATTGTACTTACTCATAGGATGATAAATGGGTTTGTATAATCCCATAAGATACTTTTTTATCAATGGGGCACTACGATATGGATCTTGCCAAGTTGCATCGAAAATATGCCAAATCCTTGCGAATGTCCCCCATTGCTAAATTATACAAATTAAAAATTGCATATGCAAACGTTATAAACAATGTAATTCTAATAGAAAGATAGAGATTGTTTGAAGAAACCAACCTGTCCTTTGCGAAGAAGTGACATCGTAAGATACCTATGGAACTTAATTTACAAATATTAATAATATGTACAGTTTTAAATTATACTAAACATCATGCGTGTGGTTAAAGTAGTGCACGAGTTTCTTAATTAAGCTCGTTCTTAAGTTGGTTGCAGTGGTTGCACGCGAAGGCAGTGTTGAGCACTAAAAATGGCGCAAACTGCTACTTTTCAATCACGATCGTGATTTTACAATAATTACGAGGTGTGATCGTGATTTTACGATCACTGTGATAAATCACAGTTAGGACGGTATTCAGAGTAATAATGAGCAACATAAATTGGAAGTTATGTAGCTTCAATTCATTTTTGAGTGTTATGTTCTAAACATAAATATTAAAACTTTTGAGATTATACACAATAACAAAATATATACTCATTGTGAAAGATAACTGTATTAATTTGCAATTACTGATCTTTACAATACATTCAAAATTGCTTCAAATTATTTCTGGGTTTTTTTACACTGTTCACTACATTATTCTACTTCCTGTCTCACTTACACACTCTTTCTTTCTCTGTCTATTGGTTTTGAAACATTCCGATGCTAAATATCATTAACAATACTAGCTTCGACAGAATTCCGTAAATGCAAACGTAAATATTGTGGTACGCAAGTGGGACAAAATGATAATGATTTAACGAATTTAACGAAAAGCGCTTTAATTTGGAAATATATTGGAATTATATTCTATATTTTGAAAGTTAATACATTGAAAATAATACTGTAGCGCAGTTCTTTTTGTTTAATACAGCCTGGAGAAAATACTTTGCACAGATTCAGCTGCTTTGACAAATGATCAAATACTATTAAACGAAATTAAAAGAAAATTGAAGTGATCAAGCCTAAAGCCTCATTTGTCGATGAGAATTACTCGTAGTATTTACACCCACTTCTATTCCAAAAATTGCGCAAAATAATAAAGGTACGTTAAAGAGTTTGGCAGAACGAAGTGAACGACTGCAAGCACTTATCGAAGAACGTGAATTTCTTCTAAAGACAGGTAGCTACACCACTGACGATACAATTATTATAAAATTAAACAATGTAATCAGATCTCTAATGATGAAGTAATATATTTTATAAATTGTACAATACTTTATAATCTTTTCTTACTATGTACATATATTGAAATAAATATATTTTACATAATTGTTTTGTGTTGTTATATACATATTTAACATGTTATATACATATTTAATAATTTAATACATTGTTGTATGTTCATTATAGTTACAAATATAAAACAATTCATATAAAAGTTTTATTTTACAACTTACATTATAAGGTGCATTTTTAATTTCTTGTTGGGAAGTGTTAGGTCAAAGCAAATCGTTTCGATCGGACATCGATCGAGTCTACAAGCCCGTTCCCAAGAATATAAAAATCTTGAATCATTGCCGATAAATTTAGAAATAATCGACCGTCCGCATTATATTTACGACCATTGATGTTCGATACTTTAAAATCTTTCATTTCTAACGCTTGGGGTTTTAATAAAACTCCAATTAACGTACCGCCGTAAGTGTCATGGAAAAATAAGGCGAACTCGTCATAACCATTCTAAAACCAAAATACAGTTATTAAAAACATTTCGCATAATGTATTTCATTCACTTGAATACTCTTCTACCAAAATTCTCACAATTCGCTCACGATGTGTACTCCACGATATTCCGAAACGGAAAGGCAGATTCGACCAATTTTCCACATAGGCAGGGCCAGGTAGCCAGAAGGATTCTTTGTTCTTCGCCCTGCTTTCTCCCCTTAAACCCCTTCAATTTTCTAAAGAATACAAAAATGGGGAGGTAGAAATGTTTATAATATGAATTAAATAAATAATAGAATTTAAAACTTCGTTACTGAATATTTCTGAGCCAATACTTACACTTCATATATAAAATATTTCATAATTAGGTTTAATTTTACAAAAGAGTATCGAAGTGCTACAAAATCGAAATACGGTGAACGAAGTATGCGCTTGCGCATATTACTCATCCATGTTGATTCTTATTAATCCCAGACACTTCTTTACCTAATTATGAAATATTTTATATATGAAGTGTAAGTATTGGCTCAGAAATATTCAGTAACGAAGTTGACCTAACATAGTAAAAGAATATATATAATTTATTATATATTATCCTTCCACATATTCTTACATACCTTCGACGTGAGTTCGTCTTGCATAGTTCGAAATGATTCTCGAAGTTCTCAAAACTGTACTTCATATCGCCACTGCAACTCTTCGTTTACCTTAATTAATCTAGTTTCCTTTTCGAGACCTTTTAATCTCCGCTGATCTTCTGTAGCGCTGTTTAAACTGTTTGCTAACATTTTACATTGTTCAACGCTACACACAAATTTCGTTTCTAAATTTTCCCTGTGTTTTTGCCATTCCTGATTCAGCAAATTTAAATTACGATCTTCCTTCCGTTTTAGCTACACAGAGAAGCATTATGTATATTATATTTGCGTTATACACGAGGAATTTTATCGTGGCCCTACCTCAACTTTAAATATCTCCATTTGTCGTTCTTTCCAAGTTTTTAGCTCATCTACTATTTTGTATGGTAAACTATCATCTAAGATTATCTTCCTTAGATCCAGGCTATTAGGTCCATCCAAATTAAATCGCTTTTCGTTAAATTTGTTAAATCATTATCATTGTATATATTCACTCCGTATAATAGAGTGGCAATTTAATAGGGAAGGGGGCAGTGGGGATTGTCCACTACGGGCAGTGCCCGTATAATGAAATATTGCGTATAAACATGAATGACAATTAAAATATTCGTAAATATGTATTTTCGTTTTATTATACAAGTACTTCTAAAATACTCAGATATTTTATACATTCGTTAATAATGTAAATGATTTACTAATATGGTTTTAATATCTTTTGTAAATATATCCAAAAATACCATTATACGCTACACAATACAAGTTACAAATCATTTTTAACAATATGTATGAAACAATGATAAGTAAAATCAAATCATATACCAAATAATGATCCTAGAAGATAATAATCATTGACGTAAAAAGTAGAAAGATTTGATCAACTGTAATTTACGTACTTATATTTAATAAGCAGCTATAGCTACATCATTAAATTGATGAAGAGTAAAAATACTTTGAACACATCTCTATGAGTTTACATCTTTATCATTACATTTACATATATAAGCTCTTCCATTTTTTAAACATTGAACCGTATTAAAACATACATGCTGATTTTTATAATACGGTATATTCAGACTTGTCTGTTTGTTAAAACTGATTTATTGTAAATTTAATCTACATAGACGCGTATCGTACACGTCGGGGAATACTCACAAATTGTGTATGCGTTAGGTATTGTTACGTTTCTATACCTACGAGGTGCGTTTGTCATTAACAACAATTAGTATGACACGTTATTCGATAAAAAAAGAGAAATTCAGTGTCGTCAATAATAAATGAAGAACCATTTAATATGCGTAATGTCTATATAGAAAGTTTCTTTGGGTACGCGAAGAGCGCAGTGGCAGATTTTCTCTCAGGGAATTCTCGGTAAAATGCGATGTCAAGATGTATTGGAAACATCGGAATATAGAGCGTACAATGTAAAACGTAAAATGTAAAATGGGACATATTTACAAGCGGACCTTAGATATCTGGTTCATATCAGAATACATGTTGAAGGCGTTCATTCTCAAACGTCGCTAGCTCTCGTTACTTTCCGAAGTATCTACGTTGGAAGACTAGATTAAAAATGTCTACAAGATTCAATATTGAATTCTATAAAGATTAACCACCTGGTTTAAATACGATAGAATCAAATCGCTATTCAGCCTGCGATTGAATAATACCCTATCATTAATGCCTTCAATTTTTAATATGCATAAATTTATTACTCCCAGTTACCAATCCATATTTTCCTTATTAAACCATACGAAGCCATTCAAGATCTCCACTCATTTCAAGAGCCATCCGTTTTTACTACTCAATCCGTCATCGCGAGACTGCGGAGGAGTAATTAACGTTACTGCTCCATTCTCAGCTGCCCGAACTAATAATCTAGCACCAATGTAAATCCCACTCTGATACACAAGTCCAATTTCGAAGCGCAAGGCGGCCGGAACTCCGTTCGTGACAAATCGTGTTCCTTGAACAATCACGAAGCCCTGCAGCCAAGGATGGATCACGATCCTTTGGTGCACAAGAATCGAATCTTGATTAGAAACGTGAGACTCCGTCGGCTTATCAGATGCCGTGATCGAACTCGTGATATCCCTCGGCGCCGGTGAACACGACGTCCACCCAAACTCTCATCGCCTCCGGACTCGGTGCCATTAGGTGATACAGTCTGGATGATGTCTTAATGATGAAAGTCAGCGACGGCTGCGGCGATCGTACGGTGTTCATGTGGTCCACGTAGACTTCCTCGATTGACTGAGAGTGAAAAGATAATTCATTGGCATTAGGCATTTATAATCATTTCGACTAATTCAATTTAATGTCTTCATTTTTATATGATGATAATACATATTTAATACAAAACATTGTTTTATTTAATATTCCATAAATTTAAAATAGTGATTCGAGATTTGCATATACCTGGAAGTAAATCACTCCCCGCGCTTTCCTGGATGAGCTGTCGCTATAATAGGACAACGTCTTCCTTTTCCGGTCGAATACGAACCACCGTTTGTTCCAGTGATGGAACTTTTTGCTCATCTTCGACAGATAACCGCTGCAGCTGGTCGTATCGACCGTAACGTCGTGTATCAGCGGTAATTGGTGACCGGCGGTCTCGATGTGATGCCTCAGGTCCAGGGATTCGGATTTGATCGGGAGGTATCTAGTCAGCGGCCTCTGCGCCCATAAATCATCATCGAATTTACAAGCCGTGAAACGAACTGTCATATCGAACGGTAACACCGTCGAGATAAGTCGACGTGACGTATGAAAATAGAATACGGAATTGGGGACGCACGTTCTGACCTATTCATTAATAGTCTTCATACCGTCTCTCATAAATTAAATATCGCCCAGTCTTATGAATTTAATATACGAACAGGAAATGTTTTATGATCGTAAAATGTACTTAATAATTGTTATCGTTATAACTGGCAAACAGTAGTTGGTACTTCTTTTCAATAAATGTGGAACTGGCAGGGGAAAGTTATTTTTAAATTTAGAAGAGTAACAAGAGTTTCGAGTATTCGTAAAAGTATACAGCTGTCTGTTTCGCGAAGAGAAAATCTGTCAGAGTTAAAGATGAATTTTGTGAACCAGAGACTGTTGGCAAATGTTATTTTGTTGTGTTTTCTTTTCAGAAAGTGATAATTCATTTTTGAAGCACTCGAGACGTGAAATGACAACTTGATTAAGGAATTAACGTCAATTTTTTAAATTCAGAACTAGGCAACGAGCATATTTTCCATTCAATGCTAATAGAGAAACGCGTGGAAATTTACATGTGCTGCGAAATTGCTTTTACAATGGCGTCTGCCTATGTTTCCCCGGCGACCCTCGATCGGAAAATCCATTGGCATACTTCAATGACCCTGACGTTTATGACCAATGACGCTAGCTTTTATGCTCTTTACTCGTCGTTAATGTCCGATAAACTTGGAATATGTGAAGGACTCATACGCGCGTTTTATTACTCTTATATACTCGGTATTTTATAATCTAATTTCATTAAGCAATTGTAAAACCACTTGGACGTCAGTTTAATTATTAACATTAGAATTATCAACTTTTTTTATATATGCATATTTTTATATAGTCGTTTTCACTGGAGAAATATTCTAGTGTTAATTCCATAAAACATTTTATCTTTTGAAATGCAAAAGTTAAAAGTACCTGTAATTTTGATTTTTCACGATGTTTGACTGGTTGCAATGGGCCAAGGGTATCCATTTCACTGGAGGTTTGTGACAGTGGGCGGCTTCCGTTTCCGTCGATTATTCCTCCACTGTTGTTGCTGAATCTCTCGCCTTCCATTGATGTCCTCCTATCGTCTCTCATCTAAAACACAGATAAACAAATTTGTAATACCTCACAAAATTATCGTAGACGATTCTATATTATCCAATTATAATTAAAATATGTATATTTGAGTGATTATGAACAGTACCACGTAGGATGACATATTTAAAATTAAATATATTATCCCTTGTTTTATACTTTGACACACTGGAATAATTTCTAATCACTGGAAAGATGTTGAGCTTCAAAAAGAAGATCGTGCACTGATTCCAACTCAACTAACTGATTCGAACAATCCTGCCAGAAGTGCATGTATATGCGTTTTCTAGCTACAGTTATATTTATAAGTCTCGAAGCGAGAACATGCGTACAAGTCATACCTGTTTGTGCAACTCTAATAAATTTTTTCAATTATGAATCAACATATCATCAACACAGTGTGAAAAGAAAAAAGTATAGAAAATTAGACATGTAGATTTAAAAACTTGTAGAACTAAATAATAATCCAATTTTTAATGTTTATTAGTATCTTGTATTTCAAACAGAAATCATCTAATTTGTTCTTACTTTCGTTGTTAAATGTTAATAAAAATGTTTACGTGTGTTTTTTATAAAAATATGTTTTGTGTAAATGTATCAAGAAAAACTGTTTGTTACTTCGATACTTTTTCGCAGGCAGAGTACAAGGAAAAAGTAATAACTGTCCTCGTCATCCAGTCCAGTTTGAATGTCGCAGAGAAGTCTCTAAGTTTCTTTCGCGTTGTCTCGTAAATTTTCATTTCGCTGCGCGAAACGACGGGAATTAATGGATTGCTGGAAATAACTCAAACCGAGCCGTGGCCCGGCAGCGGCGTCCGGAGGCTGTTAAAGTACGGTTAACGAGAAAAATTTGTGCAATGAGGCGACGCGCCACACGGGGAGAAAAGAATGACGCGTGGGCGAGAACGATGCCTCCCGTTGCCTTTTGTCTTCCTCCGTTTATTCGTCGAAGGGTTCGCACGCGCGCACATACACCCTACTTTAGTCTCGGTGAATAACCCCCATCGGAAATAATGATTCACGCAGGGTGGAGAATGGAGTTTCGTCGCATTTTTACTATAATCGAACATGTGATCTACCGACGTTCTTTATTAATCTTTTGGATAAAATCGGAACTCCATTTCTTTCTCAGTTCTAATCCAAATATCTTAATATATACGTGTACTCGATTTTCTTAACAAATATACAGAATGCTTCACCAGACGTTGCCTCCTTGGGTTTCGTCGTTATTGTTATACGTGGCAAAGAATGTTGACTGGTTTCAAGAAAGGCACATTCTTGTGTTATTAGCTATTGTGTAGGTGGACGCGTAGTAGAGATACGAAGATCATCAACATCTTTTAAATAGGATTTTATAGCTTTTCCTGCACCGATCGATGAAGCTTTATATTCTCTACGAAAAACCTATTAATATTGAGGCGACATTATGTAGTTAAGAAGATATTTTAACTTTAATATAGCTACGAAGTTACAACTATCGGATGACAAACAACTTAATACAATATTGGCTACCTTGAGTTATATCTTGTTTTAAGAAATCAATCTTCGAGTACGAAAACATTTACAATTAGTCATTTATAGTCACTAATTGTAAGATAGGTCGAAGGTTTGAAATCAATTCTGAGTCATAAGACTCGGGGTCACACTCTCCCCAATCTTCAAGTCACACACCCGCGATTTCCCAAATGAAGCAGATTTTTACTAAACTCCGAAGCAACCATTTTGAAATGCAAAGTTACATCGCAATCAGCAAAGCTCATTTCCACGTGGATCCCGAATACAATACAACATCTCATGATAATTTATTCACATAAAACGTTCAGTCTACCGACCATTTACTTTACATCATCTAAGAAATTAATTATTGTCATATATTACGTAATAAATCCGGTGGAATGTTACTAAATTCAGTGACGATACGATCTTTCATATTAATACTTTCTCGTAGAGAACATAATGCTTAATCGAGCGGTGCAGAAAGAACCATACAATTCAGTTTAAAAACTATTGATAATCTCCATATCTCTACTACGCGTCCACCTACAGAATAGCTCCCAATACCTCTCTTGAAACCATTCAACATTATAAATAAACATTCTTCACTACGTGTAATAATAATAAAGACGAAAATCAAGGTGATATCTGAACAGCCCTGCACACGTACCAGCAATAAATAAGGCAAGTTTACTAAGTTTAAAAAATTGTATTTTAAACTTCTGACCTATTTTTTCGCGATTAGTTTACCGATTATAAAAAAGCTGTGACTCATCTCCAAAATACCGAGGACCGTAACAAAAGACCAGCCGAAAACAATCAAACAGTACAACTCTTTCTTCAATCGAATTTTGAACAGTCATAAATGAATCTTTTATGACATAAATCATAGCAAGTGAAAACTAAAGCATTCGTATGTACATCACAAGAAGAGTATACAATGCATTCAAGATAGAAACAAAAATTGATCACTTACTCGTCGCTTGCGAACGTGCTTCCTCTTATTATTTCTATTGTTCATATAGCTCATCCACACTAAAGACATTTTCTACAAAATTGCTACTACTTCCGGACAAAACGTCGATGTCAACACTACCGTGCAATTAGAAAACAAGACACGTTCTGTTTCTCTTTACCAAAGAAAACTGTCTTAACTTCTGCAACTACGAGATACAATTTTTTTTTTAACAAATTGGAGACAATTTCAGTAAAAACGTGAGTGTACGGAGAGTACGGAACTGGATGAACGGCGGCGAACAACTGGTGTCCGCGTACGAGCGTACACCGGTCCTCGTTCACGGGTTAAAACGCGCCGCTCCCCTCTTCCCGGCCGAAAAATCTTTTTCTGTGCACCAGGAAAATCGACCGGTCTCATTCATGAACAGAATCACCGCCGCGGGCGTGTGCCACTGACCACCGCCTTGTTCAACAAAAAAAGGAGACGAGCGCGAGTTCTGCGCTGCGTAGCGTTTGGGGAACCTGCGTCACTCCCGATCTTTATGTGTTCCACGAGTCTTATTCGAACATGACGACGCGAAACAATCCCGAAGGCACCCCGCGATTGGGGGTTGCGTAAGCTGCGGAGAATTTCGGTTTATCATTTCTCCCGGTTTACATCGTTGAACTACGCGTCCTACGCGTCTTACACTGTCTTAGGTGTTCCTGTATTTCGTACCTTCCAATATCTCTTACGCGTCCAGTAGGTGGTATTAATTCAACGAGATTTAATAAGAAATATTCGACTGTTAAAATAATATCGACAACTTCGTATGATAACATTTTTCACGATTCACATTCTTTATTAGTTGAGAAAAATTATTACTGAAATGTGAAGTTTAAATCTTAAGCGTCATGTGTCAGCAGTGACAGGAATAAAAGGAAGGAACAAATTAATTCGTCCATCTGCTAATAATACAGTGACAGTGAAAAACAGTTCTTGTTGTTCGACGAGCTTAGACAAACATTGAACACAATTTTAGAACGTCTCTGCTCTAAACCAAAAATTCTCTACACGTTCGTTGTCACATTAATAATTTCTTTTACAATTACAAAATTGTAATCGAACATCTAAATTGCTATTATTGATTTAAACATGGAAATTTCTTTTTCAATATTCTTCCTTATTAGGGCATCAATTTTTGTTAAGGATGTATTGGCTACACACAGTCAATCCCGAAA